CTTGTGCTCCAAGCTTTGTTCCTGCTCACATGTTTCTGCCTTGTTCCTGAGAGGGGGTAAAAGGCTCCAGATGCAAAGGGAGCATCTCAGCAGAGCCCACACCTGAGAAGTAGCCCCGTTATAAACCCCAAAACTGGAGGTCAGTGCTTTTCTGGCAGCCTGGAGCAGGGAAATATCTGGAAATCCCTGTCCCCAGACTGGTCCAGTTGGGCTCCTCTGCTGCAGTGCTGAACCTGTGCCACCCCAGCATGCCAGTTTTTGGATGGCATTTATCCTGAAGCCAAGCTTCTCTAGCCCCATAGGCTGCTGGAGTGAGGGGGAGAACAGGAAAGCTGCAGAGCTGGGAGTGCAGAGGCTCGAGCTGTCACCTGGGTGTTGAGGCTGATGGAAAATCGGCCTCACTCCGGTCTGGATTCCAGGCTGGGAGCAGAGAGCAGGGCTTGGCCAGCTCTTCTGCAGCTGCACTTGAAGTGGGGGCCGGGCGGTCTCTCCTGATAGGAATTCACAGTCATCCTCTGCTTCCCTTTCCTGTTGTGGCTGGATGGGCTGAGGGGTGCTCAGAGCCCCATCCATCACTGCCTTTGCTTTGCCTCCCCCCACCCACCACGCTGAGAACTCCCAGAGCCTGGCAAGATTTAGGGAAGCCTCTAAAAATAGAGCACACCTAAAATACAGCTGATGGGAGCAGGAACTCTGCTGGGGGGGGGTTGCTCCATTCCTGACCGTCCATGGGTTGTGGCTCCAGGGACACTCCGGTTTGGGAGGGGGAAATAATGCCCTGGTGGCCTCTCCCTGTGCCACCACCGCAGTCTGAAAGGTGAGGCAGAGATGGATGGAACAGCACTACTGTCCAAATAAGCTGCTAAAAGTCGTGCTGGAGTTAACTGAGCCCTCCCAAACCCACCCAGCATTGTGTCAGGGCTGCAGGGACATCAGGCTGTGAAACTGCCTGAACAATTACTGCTGGGACTCAAAGAAACTGGGGACAGAAGGTAAAATAAGCAAAACAGATGACAAAGCAGCCTCCTGGGGAGGGAATCTGATCCCCTTTGCTTTCGGTTGTTTCTTTCCTGGCTCCTCCCTGAGACATCCTGCAGACAAACAAGCTGGGAAGGCTGTCCAAATGCAGAACCTCCCGTGTGCAGGAGGCTTTCTCTGCTGTGTCTGGCTCTTGTGTCCTGCAGGATGCTCTAAATTGTCTTTTCTTTCTCTCCCAGACTGACATGTTGAGAGCCTACAATTCTAGAGGGTTCTCAAGGCTGAGAACTTGCTGCTCAGTGTGGGAAATAGCAGCTTATTGTGTAGGTGGAAATTCCTCAGGAAACCCAGTTCTAAGGAGATTCTCTTAAAATTGGCTTTTCCCAGTTGTCTGGGCTTTCCTAACAGGATGGAGATAAGGGATAAAAGTCAAGCAATAAGGAAAAGGATCCACTCCAAAGAATAGCCTTTGGTTAAAAATTGACCACTGCATCCAGACCTCACTTGTACTGCTTAGAAGTGGGTCCAATTCTTGGAGCTGTTTGTCTTCCTGGCAAGCAAAGAGAGGCTGGAGTTTGGGTCCAGCTGGGAAAAAAAAGGCAGTGAAACACGCTAGGATGGTGATGCTGTGCCCTGCCTGTTCCTTTGGGGGATCAGTGTTCCCCACCCTGCTCCTGCTCCTCGTGCTGGGCTGAGCTGGGAGCTGGGGGTGCAGATGTGAGGCACAGGGCTCTGTCAGCTCCTCCTTGGCAGGCAAGCTGATGCGTGTGGACAGCACTGGCATCTCTGCAGAGGGGTGGAGGATCATTCTGACATCCCAACAGCTCTGAACTCAGCCAGCTGCACACCAGGGCAGCCCTCACAGTAACAGGGAGGGACAGGGACAGGGAGCTGGGCTATTTCTGACCTACCTGACAACAGGACACATCCAGAAGCGTCTGGGAGAGCAGAGGTCCACGTTGTCTTTTGCTGTTTCTCCTGGTTTACCCCTTCACTGGTTTGCCCTGTGTGGAGTAGCCTGCTCTAGCTGTGAGCAGTCAGGAGGAGTCAAAGGAATTACAGCAGAAAATGAAATCTCTGGGCTTAAGGTACTCTGAATTTAGGGTTGAGAGTCGAGGCTGCTCCTGCATTTCAGCCCAGAAGTGGCTGTAATCTCGTGTTGTGTGACATTTTAGGGTGCTTTGGGATAAAAGAGATCATCTATAAGCTAGACCTTACCTCACTGAGGAGTCATTCCTAGGCACTGATCGACCTCTGAGAAACATAAAACTGGTGAATGCAGCGAGTAAACACGTCTATTTTTGTAGTTTGTCTTCCAAGTCCAACAAAAATAAGAGATGACTTGAGGCTGGAGACTCCAGGACACACTGTTAACTGAGAAGTGGCAACACGGGGCCTGATCCTCTGCTGGAAGCCGGGCTGGCATTTCTGGGGTCAGGGAGTTGAAGTTCACACCCTCTGGCCATGCAGCCTGGAGCTGTGCAGAAGCTGAGTGTGACTGGGGCAGTGGGATGAGCTGTGCCTGGACATTTTGGGGGCAAAACCTGGAGCTGGCTGAGAATGCTGTTGGTGTTTCAAGTGCTCTCAGCATCCTCTGCTCAGGTCTGGCCTTTCAGCCCAAGACCTGGTGCGTGGATTCCAGTTGGATCCCTGGCTCCTTGGGTATCTCCCCACCTGTGCTGGGCTGCACAAACCTTGCCTGGAGCTCCAGGGGAAGTTCTCACCCTCATCATCACCCCCAGTGCTCGTGAAGTCGCTCTGCTTCCTTTCCAAACGGGGAATTTCCAAGCTGCCGTATATAGATCCCCCAGCAAACAAACCCGCCCTATGTGGAGCTGAAACAAGGGCTGTGTTCCCAAAAAAAAGCCTGTTTGTTCCAGCTGCAGTCATTTGTCTCGGGGAGGATGTTGCATCTCTTCAGAAATGGTGGATTGTTTACATCCCTGGAATGTCACAGCAGCTGCTGCACGACACCAAAACCTCCCCCAGGACAGGGCACCGAGGGCTTGTGCTCTGTAAAATATCTGTGTACCTGCCTGAACCTCAGCAACATCAGGACCAAAATATGGTTGATTGGCTTTTATTTGGGATTTTTGGGGTTTTTTTCCCCCCTCTTACAGATGTAAGATTATCCTGAGCTGTTCTACAGCTTGGCAGGCTGGATCATCACCTTGGCTGAATTTTGGCCAAGGCAGGTGGAGAACCCGAGCTTAGCAGTGATGGGGAGCTGAGCCTGAGCTGAGACTGCAGCCAGAGTTTTGGGCTCATTTATCCAGGAGCAGATCTGCAGTGACACTTCAGAGCTCAGGATGCATCCAGGAAAGAACCAGCAGGAGCAGGCACTTACTGGAAACAGGATTTGCCAATTACTGTAAAGTTTAAAAATAAACCCGAACTGTGTAAGATCTAATTATTTTCCAGGCTGCTTTTTCCTGCTTCCACCTATCCCAGCAGGACTTACAGGGACTGAAAGGCTGCAGGGTGTGAGGCTGAATGGCATTCACATTGATAAACTGGCAAAAAAGGGGATTATTCTCAGATGAGCAACATTTCCTTGGGAAGTGAGTAATGGAAGGAAATCATCTCCAGATACCCACCAGCCCTGCTCAAGGGGCTCTGGATGTGCATCTGAGAGCCCTGGGAACAAGATCCAGAGCATTTCTAGGTGGTTTTCTCAGAGCAGGACATTGGGGCAGGAGGAGGATAGGGCAGGAGTGCCTGGGTTAGCTGATGAGAAGCAAATGGTTTGCAGTGGGGCAACACTTGGTTCCTCCAGCTTTTCCCTTCGGTATCCCAGGTCCAGGATCCAAGCAGTGTGAGGACAGCAGGCAGGACACACACACCAGGAGAGAACAAGGATGAGACTGGACAAATCCTGCGCTCAGCAGTGGCTTGGAAAGCCTTTTTTGCAATCCCCAGGAGGGGAGATAATCAAACTGGGGGAAATATTGCTCACTGGTTTCATAAATCCCACAAAATTTGGAGCATTCCTCCTCTGCTATTTTTCAGCCTGTCCTGTTGGTCACTCCCTGTGTTAAGGAGGTGATGGCTGATGGGTCTCTTCATAATTAGGTGTAACTTTCCAGCTTTTTCCTCTACGAGTAACATCTTGGATCTGTCCAGACGCAGCACATGTAAAAACCCACAGGGGAAAAAGGGAAAGGGACTGTTGTCACCTGTAGCTGAGGAGTAGGAACCAGAAGCAGATCCACGGAGAGCAGGGCAGGCAGGAGAAGGGAAAGGTTTGGTTTGGTTTGTGTTCTGGCAGATTCTCCTGCCCAGGAGCATTGAGAGGCTGCAGCCAGTGAAGGCTGACCCTCGGGGGCTTTGCTATTTGCTGTCTGCCAGACTCTCAGCCCCTCCATCCAACCTGTTCGTCACAGGTTTATCTTCGGGCGTGTGAGTCCCCCTTGCCTCAGCACCACGGACCTGAGGACGTGTTTGACACCACCACGCCGAGGGAGACGATCCATGGGCACTCAGCTGCTGCAATTCCCAGTGTTGCTCCTTCCCCAGGGCACGGCAGGTCCTGTGTCCCCCCGTGTGCCCCCAGGGCAGGGCAGGGACTCGCTGGGCAGCGCTAGGACCTGTGGAACGCTCCGTTCCTCCTCCCTGAAGATTGGCCAATATTCCCAGGGCAGGGCAGCTCCCCAGCCTTTCTACTTTTTTCTTTCCTTTATATACGTGTTTTTCCTTCTTCCAGCTCACTCCAGAGCGGAGAGCTTTGGATTTCTCGGAGCTTTTCTCTCCTTCTTTCCCCCCCCCCCCGCTCCCTGGCAGCTGGCCTGCTGCCAGGGTCTCGCAGGGCCAAAAAAGTTTTTATCTACGGGGATATATTTTTCAAACCAGCCCAGCTGCGCTCAGGCTGCAACCGAATCCGCGCTCCTGGGGCAGGCTTAGCTCGGGAGAGGAAGAGCAGCAGGGGTGCCTGTGTGTGCCTCTCCTCCAGCTATTCCTGTCAGGATGGATTTATGACTCTAAAAGGAGTGGGGTGAGGGGGTGGGGGCAATAGGGGGAGGAAGGAAAATTGCCTCCGGGAGCCAGAGCTTGCACCACAGCCCAGCGAAAGGCGCGGGGAGGAGCAGCCGGATCCCAAGGCATGAGCAGCGTGGAAGTGGCACCCCGGGATCTGGCGGATCCGTGCGCGTACTATGACTGATCCTGAGCTTTTCATCTGCCTCCACAGAGCCCAGCCGCTGGATTTAAGGTAGTTTGCCCAGGACCAGGCTTTGCTATGTTGGCCAAGGCAGTGCTTTCTCTTGGTCTGTGGCTGCGGTTCGCTGCAGGACAGGACACACCTGAGCGAGGTGAGTGCCTGGAAAGGCGAGGCATTCCCGTGGTGCTTTCCCCCCATTTCATACCTCCTGCTCCTCAGAGCTGCTCCCGAAACCTTTTCAGGATAAAAGCTGAGGTTGTCTTGATGCTTGAGGTGTATAGTTATGCTTGTGTGTTCCTTCGCTGGCACAGGGGCAGAACAAACAAACCAACCTGTCTAAAAAAATCGCCTGTTGGAAATGTTGTCCTGTTTGTTTCCAGTAGGGAAAAGGAAACTATTTGAAAAACTTGCAGAGTTTGGTGTCATCATATGGAAAAAACCCTTGCTCCTCACTGGTACCTCTGTACTGAGGGACATGCATTAAGAGAAGTAAACCAGTGATTAACACTATCCTTGTCTTGCTCTCTTGCTAATCTCTGCGGTTCAGTCATCACAGTTTCTCTTTGAAATGCTTTCTCTTTGAAATGCTTTCTCTTGGATACTGTTCATGGAAAGTAAATGACTGTGGGTCAGTCCTGCAGAACTGACAGTGGGAAAAGGGACGTGAGGGAGGTGAATGTCTCATTCCTGGTCCCTGCCCTGTGGTGCTGGGTAGAGACTCATCCTGCACCGTGGTGGCTGAGCTGGTGCAATTCATTTTTGTGCTGCCTTTTTCCTCACAAGCAGAAAAGGTTCTGAGGCTGCAGGGGAAAGTGCTGGTTGTGTCTGGTTTTCACTGCACCTGGGAAGTGTAATCCACTGGGAAAGGAGAGTGGACCTCTTGTCTGTGTGGACAGGAGGTCCTCGGGCTCAGAGAGCAGCTCAGACTGCTGGGGTCTGATTCTGCCTCTGGTACCCAGAGCAGGCTGTGTCTACAGCTCAGCTCTCCTTGCAGGGTGCTGGATTCTGTCCCTCGGTGTCCCAGGCTGGTTCAGGAATGGCACTTCTGGCACTGCCACAGTGCTCAAAGTCCACCCAGGCAGCAGTTATTCCTATTGTCCTGCCACTCTGCTGCCCTGGGAGTTGTACGTGGCAGCTTCCCAGCCCAGGCTAAAAACAATGCTCAGACCTTCAGGGCATGTGACAAAGCGAGGCATGGCATTCCAGAAGGACTGTGCCTTGCTCCAGAGGCAGAGGTGTGTGTGCTGTGCTGCTGATGTGCTGCCTGGGGCTGCACTGCCAGGCACCCCGAGAGGAACGAACCTGCTGGTGGGGGAGATGCCCACCCAGCAGCTTTGATGTGGAGCCTCCTCAGCTCCTCTGGGTGCTCCCTAAGGCAGCCCTGAGTGAGCAGCTGGCCTGGGGAGGCTCCTGGGAATGGGCTGGTGCTTGTCCAGAGGTGCTGGGGTGCTGTGTCATCAACACATACCCAGATGAACTGTTTGAGAGTGCAGGATGCATGTCCATAACCCTGTTCCCTTGGCATCTGACCAAAGGTGAAGGACTGTGGCTTCATTCCAGCTGCAGTGGGCAAAGGGAAGAAGCTGCTGGATGGCCAGTGGTGCTTCCACATGCTCAGGAATGATTAGATTGTTCAGGGCAATGGGTACTGATTTCATGCACTAAGGCACAGAGTCAAGGCAGAGCATCCCACAGTTCCACCCCTTTCCTCTTTGGGTCCAGATTCAGATCTCTGTTGCAGCAGTGTAAAGTGTGACCATTGGATAGTCTGGGCTTTGATAAATGAAGTTAGATTGTCATTGCTGGGTTACTCTGGACTAGCATCAGCTGAAAATGGTGGGGATGTTGCCATCCCTGTGGGTGCAGTGAGTGAAAAATGAAGACTGGGCCCACCCATACCCACTGTGGAGGGAGCCCTTACTGATCTCCGAAGCACAGCTCAGCACCTGCTGGAATTCCATGATTCCAGAACTCTTGAGGTCCCAAATAAAACAGCAGAGACAATGAAACTCCTGAAAAGACCCTAAGAGGTGGCGGCACAGCTTCATTCCTGCCGTTGGGATTTGTCTGAAGGGCCATTTCTCAACCCTCAGCCTGAAATCTGTGGCACAGACGAGCTGGAACCTGCACAGGCATTTTGGGCTTTTAGTCACACCAGTTTATTGTGCTTGGTGGGGCTCAGCTCCTCCACCAAGGGTGTGATCAACCCACCTCCCCTGGCACAGACCCCTCTGCCGCGGTTTGAAGTGTAAACCTCTGCGTCTGGGAGAGGTGGTGCCTCTCTCCTCCTGCCTCTCACTGTGATCCAGGGGGGCCACAGGGAAGAACAATCCATGTTCCTCAGCCTCCAAACCTGCCTCCACTCCCAGGAGAACTTCCCTTCCCCTGCGTGGCCAAACGGCGAGATGAGAAGACAAATGTGGAACGTCAAGCACAGTTAACCAAGACAGGACGTGATCTCTTCTGGCTGTAATTACGCTCCACGAGCTCCAAGCCCCACGTAACTCAGGCGTGTGGCCTGAGTTCAGGTCCCAGCTGGGAGCAGGGGGAGCTCTGCAAGCGGATGTCTCCTGTCAGCATCACAGGGAAGTCTGGCCAGCTGTTTTTCTCCTGGAAAAGCCGACGAGGCAGCACCGTGTTTCCATAGTGACGTGTTGCTCCCGTATCAATCCCTTCCAAACACTCCTCCACGTGGCTGATGTGAGTTTATCGACTAGGCAGCGACAAGAAGATCCTGCCCTGTGCTCTCTGTCGTTCCCTGGAGCCAAGCAGAGCGCAGGGACACCAGTGATGTGAGATCTGCAGAGTCATTCCAAGCAAAGACCCGACAGGGAAACACTTGTGGATGCCTCTTCCCTCCAAATTCCCCTGGAAGCGCGAAATAATCACTCGGCACGTTGCCAAGGAGCCAATCATCGCTCGGTCTGGAGCGAGGAGAGTGCCCGAAAGCAGCAGCCGCTTGCGTAAGGCAGGGATTTCGCGGTAACCTCCACAGCCCCACCTCTGGCACGGCCCGCCTGCTTGGATTGGATGCGGGACAAGGAGCAGGAAGAAGGATGATGAGGGAATTGAAAGCCTAGACCTGAGGGGAAGGACGATGGGGTGCCCAGTGGCTTTGTAAGGGTTGCCACGCTCCCGGTGTAGTGAGAGCCTTTTGTCTCTCTCTCTCTCTTTTTTTTTTTTTAAATGGATTCTTTCTGCTGCCAAAACCTGAATGGGAGCAATTTGTTTCCATCTTATGCGGGGCTGAGTGTTGGGTAGATGGCGTTTGTCTGCATGAAGGATAAACCTTCTGCTCCACCCACAGACAGTCCCTTCAGCTCCCAAATACACCCTGCCCACCAGCGGGTTTAGCTGCTGGTTTTGTTAACCAGTTGTTAATCAGTTGTTGTTAATCAATGCAGGCAGAACCCTGTGGTGTCAGGCTGTAGCTGTTCCAAATTAACACAGCTACTCCCAGCTATGCTTAACTGATGGCCAGTGTTCTGCCCAGCTCTCTTGCTGCCCCAGAGCTGCAGGGCACAGACCCGAGGGCATGGCTGTGACTCTCCTGTGGTGTCCTTCTCTTTCAGTGGGGTGTTCCACTCTGGTTTTCACCTCGGTGCAGCTCCCTGCAGGTAGTTCTGGCAGCAGTGAGATTTCTGCTCCCTCGGATTCTGCTCCCAGGGCTTGTGCATGTGACCCTGTTGTTTACTGCTTGTGAGCAGTGTCCTCTGGCCATTGACCCCTGCCCTGCCAGGGCCAGAAGCTTTCACAGCTGTTTGTTGCAACATTTGGGACGCCAGTGACACTCCTGGAACCAGTGAGCAGCCGCCATGTCCTCCAGGGAGGTGGCAGTGGTGTTCCAAGGTCTCTCCCTGTGTCCTGCCAGCCAAGTCAGTGGCTTGAACTGCTCCCAGCAGAGAGAAAATAATAGAACATGCTGAGCTGGAAGGGATCCATCAGAATCATCCAGTCCAAATCCTGGCCCTGCACAGACACCCCAACAATCCCACCCTGTCCCTGAGAGCGTTGTCCAAATGCTCCTTGAGCTTCTGAGCAGTTTTGGGGCCGTGCCCAACCACCCTCTGGGGGAAGAACCTTTTCCTGGTATCCAGCCTAAACCTCCCCCCCAAAAAAAAAGCAGAGAGCAGTGGCCACATGTGCTTGCCTTGCTCCCTGCAGCCAGAAGCACTAAACAAAGCCCTGCTGGAATGCCAGTAGGAGTTCTGGGAACCAGTGGCAGGGACCTGTAGGTCACAGTTCAGCTGCACTGCGTGATGTGGTGATGAAATCGCAGTTGCTGCAGGCACACAGGAAAGCTCACTGGACTTCACTTTCATTTTCTGCTCAGCTCTCAATGCCAGGTCAGCAGGAGGGTGTGTCTGTGGCACAGGGCTGAGCTGTGCTGGTCACATGGAAATGGCTGTGATCCAGGTGGATGGCACATCTCCTGCCTCCTCCTGGCCTCTCTAGACTAGTCAGAGAATCAAAGAATCACAGGATGGTTTGGGCTGGAAGGGACCTTAAAGATCATCCATTTCCACCCCCTGCCATGGGTTGGGACACCTTCCACTATCCCAGGTTGCTTCAACCTGGCCTTGATGCTGCCAGGGATGGGGCAGCCACAGCTTCTCTGGGCAACCTGCGCCAGGGCCTCCCCACCCTCCCAGGGAAGGATTTCTTCCTAATATCCAATCTAAACCTATTCTTTGTCAGCTTGAATCCCCCTTGTCCTGTCACCACAGGCTCTTGCAAACAGTCACCTCCAGGTACCTTTCATGTCCTCCATTCCTGAAGGCTCCTCCTGATTTCTCCTGCTGTTCCGGGAGATCAACTCTGCCACATCAGCCAGTGAAGTCTCAGATTTGGCACAGGATAACCGAGCTCTCCTGGCAGGTGCCTGTGCAGGTTTTGGGTTCACATCCCTCCTCTAACACTCCTCCCTCTCCCTTTCCCCTCCAGGTCCCCGGCCGCCCATTTCCAACACAGAGGGCGACCTCCTCCTCCTGCTGGACAGCTCCGCCAGCGTCTCCCACTATGAGTTCTCCAGGGTCAAGGAATTCATGTGGGACCTTTGCAACCTTTCACCTTCGGCCCCAGAGACGTCCAGACCAGCATCATCCACATCAGCACCACGCCCACCATGGAGTTCCCGTTCGACCGGCACCTGTCCGGCGGGAGCCTGAGGCAGGCGATCCGGGGCACGCGGCAGCTCATGGGGGACACCAACACGGGCAAAGCGCTGTCCTTCGCCAAGGAAAAGCTCTTCAGCGGCGAGGCTGGAGCCCGGCCAGACGTGCCCAAGGTGCTGGTTTGGGTGACGGACGGCTTCTCCACCGACGACATCTCCGAGCCCATGCGGCTCCTGAAGGACATGGGGGTGACGGTGTTCATCGTCAGCACGGGCCGGGGCAACTACCTGGAGCTGTCTGCTGCTGCCAGCCAGCCCCCAGACAAACACCTGCACTTTGTGGACGTGGATGACCTGCCCATCATCACCAAGGAGCTGCAGGATGGGATCCGAGGTAGGCTGGGCTGGGGTTGTGGTCACGGGGAGTGTGCAATGGGGCTGAAGATGGGTTTGGATGGAAAAACCACATGACAATGCAAAACAGCCCAGAGGGAATCTCTCAAAACACACGTGTGTGTGGGCAGCAGCACAGTCTCTCTCTGCTGGTTGCCCAGATAAGCCCACTACTAATTTATTTAAGTGTTAATGAGGATGAGTTAATGCCTGGCTCTGCAGGGCAGGCAGTGGGAGAATCCCCCCAAAATCAGTGGTCCTGCTGGCCCACAGGTGCTGCCCTTGTAAACTGTCCACAGTGCTACAGGTCCATAAACCAGAGCTTTTGGGAGGTCTGGGACAAACATCTCTCTTCCCCTTGGAAGGTTCCGTGACTGAGTGGGACAAATTCCCTCCTGTTAGTGAGAGGAGCTTGTGTTTGTAAGGAGCTTTGTGTTTGTGTTTCAGTTGATAATGAAGGAAGGAGGCTCAGGCAGGGTATTCTCTGGATTCCTTAAAAACCCCACAAGCCTTTGGAATGAGTCATGCAGGTCAGGCATCTGTACAATCCCAGCAGAGCAGGAAAATTCCCCCACCTGCACAGGCTGTTAACCAGAGGCTTCCCATACAGGCAACGATTCAACCTCAGCAAGAGGCTGCTGACTGTGGGAGCGAGGTGTCTGAGCCCCCTGAACTTGATTTTCCTATTCAGAGTGATTTTTTTTTCTCCAGAATGTTTGTCTGTTTGGCTCTGTGCCAGCTGATGGAGAGGGAGGACACAAAGGTGTGGAATACACCATGTACCCAAAATGGGATGTGTGTGCCTGGGACTCGTCTGGGGTAGATCTGACTTCCCAGATACCCCATCATGGGCTGGCACTCCCTGAGATATCCAACTCCTGCAGCTGTTGTTCTCTTACAAAGCACACATACCCCACCACAAGGGTCCCTGCCAAGCTGCTGCTGCTGCCTCTGGTGGGCTGAGAATCCTCCGTGGAACCACTCGGTCTCCACAGAGAGAGATGTGCTGGACCTGAGGCAGTGCCAGCAGTGGAAGGGGTGCAAACAGCAGGGCCTGTGGATGGGTGTGTGTGCTCACTCCCCCTCTTTTTCCCTGGCATGTTGTCCCGACACAACAAGTCTGCAGAAGGCAGCTGCCAGCCAGCCTGGCCATGGCACAGCTGGCTCCTTCCACGTGGGAAGGAGAGGGATTCAGGCTGGGAGGGAGCACAGGCTCTTTCCACTGCACCTCATACATCAGTGTGTACCAAAATGGGGCATTTGGGGAAGGACCAGCCTTGTGAAACCAGGGCATTCCTGTGAGGTGACACCAGGTTCTGTGCTTGCACCCACTTGCTCTCCACTCAGCCACTTGAACTGGCAGCTGCTGACTTGTTCCATCCTCAGGCTCCACCTTCTGAGCCAAGTTTTGCCAGGGCCCGTGTGCCCAGCAGGCACAAAACATCAGCCACTTCCCATGGGTACTCAGTTCAGGGTGACGCATTTCTGGTCTGAAATGAAATCCTGGATAACTTCTGGAGCAGGGAAGGTTTTACTCCAAGCCCTCTGATGTTTTCACCTGGAATTGAATACAGGCAGAGGGAGGGATCTCAGACCTTGAATGTCCACCCCTGGTAATGGAGAAGTGTTTCCCCCCCCACCTCCCAGAATCAGGATCCTCTCCCATCCCTATCAAACCAGAGAACTAAAACCACCAAGCAGAAGTGGTTTGTCCCAAAGCCCTGCAGCACAGAGGGCACCCAGGGCTGGAAAGGTTCACCTGCTGCCTGGCTGCATTTTTTACACCCCTAGAAAGGAAAGCAGCAGCGTTCCTGCAAGTCTGATCCTGACCTTGCCAGAGTTCAGAGGATGCCAACAAACCTGTGGCTGCAAAATAGTGCTCCAAGTCACCAAGAGGCAGGAGGTGGAAGGAAAGTGTGTCATGAGCCCTCTCTGAGTGCTGCTGGATCCTGCCTGGGGCTAACACAGGAGATTAACTTGCTGCTTCCCTCTGGGAACAAGGAGGTGCTGGGAAGCACACCAAGGACATCTATTTTCTGGGGATTATTGCCCTCTTTATGTGCTTAAGGAATCTGTGATCTGGCAAGGAGGGGCAGAGCTGTTTGCTCTGGGCTTCCTGTGCCCTGTCACTTTGATATGCCCGATTTTTTCGCCGGTGTCCCTGAGCCTCCAGGCTCACTTGTTTCCATTCCCCGAGATTTTGGCAGGACTTTTGGCACCGAGGCATTTCCTCTGCTCCCTGTTCCGTCGTGGTTTGGCCACTGGTGTTTGTGGGGCTCACAGAAGGGTGCAGTGTCCCAGGACCTCTGATTCTTCTCGCAGCCTCTCCACGCTCCGAGCGGGTGGAGTGCTGCTGGCTGGCAGCGTGTGGATGGGAGGGTAGGGCATGGAGCAGGGAGGGAAATGTTCCTGCCTGCCTGGGAGAGCCAAAGAACAGCTCAGAGGAAAAACTGAGGCTGTTTTACTTGGTACAGGGAAGCTGGCAGGGACTCAGAGCAGCTCGGAGGAGGAGAAGCTGATCCTCTCCCTGCTAAAGGACAAGTCTGGGAGTGCAAAGTGACCCCATTTCGCAGGTCTGGGCAGACTTTTGTGCCTCCTTTTTCCTCTGTGCAGTGGGGAGCCAGACAGAACTACCCCCAGGACTCTGTGAAGGATTTAGGCATGAGCTGGAAGGTTCTATCATAAAGTTTCAAGGCTCAGGGTGCTTCTAAAAATTCTTTAGAAACAAAAGAGCATCTTTATGTTTTCATATGTCACTCCCCTGGAGAAACAAAGTCCTGTGTGTTTCTGCCCCTCTGCAAGACCAGAGAACACTGGAATTCTGCCCAAGATGGGCTTGGGAGGCCACACATGTGGGAAGGGTCAAGTAGCAGAGGAAGCTGGGGCAGCTGTGAGCATCAGAAGAGGTATTTGTGCCTGGCATTTGGGGTCTGAGACTCAAAGGTAGCGTGAGCCTTGAAGAGGAGCCCTCTGTGCAGGGGCAGGGAGAGGTGAGACGGCACAAGAGGGCTCTGAATGTTGAATGTCACCGAACAACAGAGCTCTGTGAAACCCCGTGGGCAGTGACCTCAGCTGGGGTGAACTGAGCTGGCTCAGCAATGCTGGGCAGTCCCCAGTTCCTGCCCCTTTTTCCTGGCCACTGGGCACTGGCAGAGAGCAGGGAAAAATGGAGTTCTTCACACCCCGGGCTGCTTCACACACAGGACAGAATGTTTGGCTTCACTGGGAGGTGATTTCCACAGGGAGCTCAGGATGGGCCACGCCTTGGTGACTTCAGGGATCGGCCAGTGCTGCTGCCAGCTGCATCTCCCACCCAGGAGGGCTGGGATTTCAGGTGTTGCACGTCCTGGGTGTCGATTCTTGCTCCTCTTTCCCTTGCAGATGTTCTCCAAGCCAACCGGCTCCACGCAGTCGATGTCACCTCAAGCAGCTTCCGTCTGATGTGGCCCAAGCTCCTCTCCCAGGAAACTGGCTACTACACCCTGCAGTACGCCCCAACAGATGACCTAGCAAGGAAGAGGACAAAGCAGGTGTCTGGGGCTCACACCAGCCTCCTGCTGAGCAACCTTGCACCAGAAACCACTTACGAGGTGGCCCTCATTCCTGAGTCCAACGTCCACTACTTCCCTCCCCAGACAACGAGGGTCACCACGCTGGCAGGTACGATGTGCAAGGCTGCAGCAGCTGCTCTGGGAACGAGGAGCTCCTGTCTCCTACCTGGAGGCTGGAGGAGCAGCTGGGGGAGAGGAGCGTGCTGGAAGCTGGTGTATGTGACTGATGGGAACTCTCTGTGTAAGAGGGAAGGAGAGGGGGAGCGCTCGGAGCAGAAACCAGTCCCTCTGTGCAGACATATGGGCCAGAGGGTAACTTAGATTTCTGCTGGATGCACTGAAAACCTAGGCAAAGTCAAGGTGGATTTGTATCTGATATTAATTTTTTGTGAGCAAGAACAGTCCTGGCTGGGTAGTTCTGCTCAGTCTATGCAGCACAGGTAGAGAAACCAATCTCTTAGGGCTGAGTGGGGTTGTGCTGGGTTGATTTTCTTCCACCTCCTGAAAGCCAGGTACGGTGCAGGTCAGTTATGCTCCTGTGACAGCATTCCTATGCCTTGAATTCCATCCTCACTCCCATCTCTCTTCGTTTCTTGCAGAGGAAATAAGCCCAGCTCAGGTTCTCATCTCAGAGTCCGGGCCACGCAGCTTCCACGTGAGCTGGGCTCCCACGCTGGACAGCGTGATGGGCTACCAGGTGCTGTATGGACCCCTCCCAGGGAACTCAGTGAAGGTGCTGGAGGTGGATGGGAGGCACAACAGCACCGTGGTGGAGAACCTGGCACCCAACACCACCTACCTGGTGACAGTGACCGCAATCTACAGGTCGGGGAAGGAGAAATCCCTGTCAGCCAAGGCGTGCACCCAGGAAGGTGAGCGAGCAGCACGAGGAGTCCCTGAAGTGTCCCTGTGTCTTTCCCACCTGCCTCTAGGTGAGGCCAGAGAACTCTGAATCCAGTTACTGGGGTGGGATGTCAAGGGGAAAGCTGCAGCTCCTGATGAGGAGCAGTGATGTGCCATCAGGGTGCAGCAGATGTGTGAGGACTGAAGAGAATCAGACACGCACAGCGTGATGGATGTCACAGGGGTTGCTGATGCTGCTGGTTCAGCACAAGCAGAACGGACCTGGAGATCCCTGGATCTCTCTAAAAGAGAAAGAAAACCTCCTTTCCCTCATGTCTCCTCAGTGCCTGTTCTTTGTGATTTAGCATTCGAGGGGTAGAAGTTTAACCAGCAGAAGCTTCTCCTTTGAAGAAATACCTGTGAAGGTATTGCAGGAGGCAAAGTCCAGCCCTTATCAGGACTCAAGAGTGAGGACCTCAGGAAATGACAGGGCTGAGGGTGTGGGAGGTGACAATCAGTGCCTAATGGTGCCAACAAAAGTACTTTGTGCTGGACAAAGTTAAGGGCTAATTAGGTCGAGCTCCTCCAGCGTGGAGATGTAGAGTTATGTTGGGTCAGTGCATCTGCCAGGTGTAAAAGCTCTGAGATTTTAATGGGAGGTGAGATTCCCACGTGAACCCAGGGGTTGGTGCTTTAAGCAAAATACCAGCCATTGGTAACATCATCTGAGTTTGCCTTTTTAAAGCCACATATGTCCAGTGTGGCAGCCCTCAATCACCACCCCTCCTGCTTCTGGGAGAGCAAGGAGAGGCAGGATCCTTGGCAGGCAGAAATCGGGCCTTTCCAACTGTGGAATGGCCCAGACTGGTTTAGTTGTCCCTGCTATCTTATCTTCATCTCTTGGCACTGTTAGAAAACAGTGAACAACACAAAGCAAAGCCCAGGCTGGCTGGCAGCCCCTCCTCGGGCTGGGGGAACAGGGAGGGAGGCAGGAACGTCCTCTCCACCCATCTGTCCCACAGTGACACGGATCTTCTCTCTGCAGAGGGCTCCAAGGTGAGGCACCTTCGCTTCGAGGACGTGGGCCCCAACACCCTGAAAGCCTCGTGGGACTCTGCTGCCGGGCAGGTGGTGGGGTACAGGGTGCGGTGCCGGCGGCAGGCGGGCCCGTCCTCGGTGCTCAGCGTGTCCCCGCGGGTGCACAGCGTGCTGCTCACCGACCTGGCCGCCGGCACCGCCACCGAGGTGTGCGTGAAGCCCGTGTACAGGAACCAGCCCGGCAGGAGGCTCTGCCGCACGGTGCACACGCAGCCAGGTGAGCTGGGGGGGGACAAGGCACCTCCTGTGGGGGCCCTGGTGCTCCAAACCCTCCTTAACACCGGTTTGCAGGTGTGAGAAAGGGCGGTGTTTATTCATCGGCACGAGGGATGTGGGGAGGAGAGCTCATCTCAAATGGCAGATGGACAGGGCTTTTTATTACACATAGTCATTCGATAGTCTTGCTTGCTTAATGCATATTCATTGCTTTGCTTTACACAGTCACACCCTTGTTGGAAGTCCTTTTTTTGGTCTTCCTCCTTGTCTTGGCCTCAGTTCTTGAGCAGCCACAGCATCATAGTATTTCACCCCCCAAAAAGTGTAACATTTGTTCTTTATCTTGTTAGGGTACACAGAGCTCGGTTTACGTGCTGTTGGTTTGAGTTCTGTCCCTTATCTAATTCTCCAGGGCTTCTCTAAGATTACATTGTTCCTTATTTGGGTATTCTGGGATGCTGTGAGGGAAGTTTCTCATATCAGCCCCGAGGTGCTGGAGAACCAGCCCAGAGGAGCCCTCTTGGCTGGAATATTCTGTGCTCATCAGCTGGCTTGTCCTGGGGCTTCATCACAGCACCAAAGTGACCCAAGATGGGTTCTGTCCCCTATTTTTTGGAGCAAGACTCCTCCTAGTGGAGCGTATGGCAGGCAGGAGGAAAAGCGTACAGTGGAGACAGACCTGGAACTACTTTGGGATAACAAGGGTGGGAACACTGCTAAGAGCTGGCACAGGCATTGGAAACACTTTAATTTAGAATATTGACTACCCTTCAACGTGGCTGGGACCAGGCAATTATTCAAGCCAGTTACTAAGACACAGCACATCTGCTTTCCTCCTCCTGCTGCCCAGGAGCCACTTCCTGCCACGGAACATGAAGGGATTCTGGACAGGCTGAAGTAAGAGCTAAAAAGAAGCTTTTTCCCAGCAAGAGGCTGGAGGGAGAGTAAAACCGACCTCAGGGGTGAGATCTCTGACTCAGTCAAATTTGGGGAAGGGTGGAGAAAGCTGACATGGTATTTCCTGTGCTCTTGCAGCGACAGAGGCCCAGGGGTACAGGCACCGACAGAGAGCGTGACGGACCGGAGGGAAGAGATTCCCAGCAGAACAAGGGATCCTGCTTGGACAAACACCTGGACAAAAAGGAGGGCTCAGGGGAAGCTCAGAGATCATCTCCCAGCCTGCACCGTCCCTTCAGGTGTCCTGGTGGTGGAGCCCAAAGGTGTCCTCAGCCAAGTTCTCTGAAAGCTTAAAGGTTTGGCTTGGCTGGGTGGAACAAGCAATCTGAGCAACAGATCCCAAATCCATGCCCTCTTTTATAGGAATATGCCCAGCAAATAACAAACAGAAGGCAAAGTGGTGAACCCTCACTCTTGCTTGCTTGCTGCCTGTTCTCTATTTATTAAATGTCAACACAGTTTTATTTTTGCAGCTTCTGAGCACTTTCTAGACTTGACTGTTCACTGCCCTGGCCTCTCATCCAGGGTACTCTGAGGAAGATTCCGTGTGGCCAAATCCATTCCTGCTCTCAACAGCCACTGAACCTGGAGTCTGAGAGAGCAGGAAACTCAAAACCCTGGGAATTTGCTTTCCCAGTGGGTTATTCCAGAGCTCTGAGCCCTCAGCTGAGCTCAAGGAGCAGCAGTGAGTCCAGAAAAGCCAGACAGCAACACCATCTAGAGCACTTATTTTTGTTTCTCCTCCAAACAGCAGTGCAGTCCTGCCTGGCTCATCACCACTGCAATCATTTCACCAGACTGGATGTGAGTCCTGCTGTCAGAGCAGCTATATGGAGATTAATCAGCCTGTTCTGTGACTAATTGCAGGCATTAAGTCTCCAGCATTATCATTCCTCTGCACACACCTAGCCCATATTTAGTGTCTTGTCCTGGGCTTCCACCCAGTGCTAAGCTTGAGCTACACTTCAAAATCAGGTTTTTAGGGGAGAAGAGTAAATCTGATTCTTTCCTTTTGGCCCCAGGCTTGAATTTGCTGTCACTGAAGCTCCCCTGGAAAGTGGAGCTGGCAAAAAAAAAAAAAAAAAGAAACAAATTAAATACCTAGTGACACAGCAACTGGTCTCAAAATTAGAGCTGTAAAGAAATGTAAATACTTCTCTGCTAAACCCCAGATCAGTGGGAACACCCTCCCTCAGTAGCACCTGCTCTGTTTTAAATGTATTGCTTATTTGTCCTACACGTGGAACTCGTTTTTTGAAGCTGTGCTGGTTTTTTTTTTTTTTGGAGAGCCCCACTCAGCGTCCCAAACCCTGCTTTGGACTTCTTAAAACAGCTCCTTTGGGAGCTGAGAGGAACTTTATCCCTGGCCTTGTCTCCTGAGTGCTGAATTTTATCACCTGTAGGTTTGTGGAGCATTTTCCAAGGTGTGTCTTGCCCAGGAGGAAGGGATGGAGGGAGGTGAGTCACTCATTAACTCCATAAGGAGATTTCCTGGGATTTGTGTCCTTTGGAATGTGCATTTGGGACTGATTAAGCTCCTTGCTGAAGGGATGATCAAGCCTCTGGAACCTCTCATGCAATAGGATGGTCTTGTTCGTTCTTGCTGTAGGACAGAAATTAAGTTTGCACAACTCCCTGCGTAGTTTATTAATCCATTAACATGTCACCCCCCTCCCCCCATTGTAACACACCCCTTTGGAAAATAATTAAATATAAATACAAGAGCTATTGAATGATTACTTTGTTCTCGATGGCACTAAGGGCAAATCTGGGGAGTGTAGCTTTTATTTCAAAGCTGGTGTTCACAGAATCATAAAAGCTGGGAAAGACCTCTGAGATCACCAAGTTCAGCTGGTAAATCATCTTAATTTTAAATGGCTGGAAAAACACATGACTTCACAGTCTGATTTACACAAAACCTCACCCCCATCCCTCAAAAAATGTGCTGGAAATATATAAATAGAAACGGATCAGTAAAGTCTCAGCTCCAGTAAGGATGGGTTTACAAGGAGCCAACGAGTAAATGTCCCCCAAATCTTGGCAGAACTGGTAAATACTTGTGAATAACACCCAGGGACAGGGGGGGATTTTGGGGTGTCCTGTGCAGGGCCAGGAGCTGGACCCTGATCCTTCTGTGTCCTTCCAGCTCGGGATATCCCACGATTCTGTGATTCCAAGTGTGCACTTGGGAAGAAACAGGAAGATTTAAAGCAAAAAAAACCACCAGAATGGCATCCCCGGCCTGCTGAGGGCTGGGCAGGAGCCGGCCTTGTTCTACATTTTACACCACTTCAGGCTGCAGAATCCCACCCGTTTCTCACTCTCACAGCACTTCCCTCCCCTCCCCTTCTCCAAAGGCTCTTGTGTCCACTTTCCCATTCCCAGCAGATGGACTGGGAGCTGATTTTCAGGGAAAATCTGGCTCAGCGCCTAGACGGGTTTCCCTCCACTCCTCTTGTTTTTTTAAAAGGCTCTTGTGTAGCCTTTCCCGTTCCAATCAGTCACACCAGGACCCCATTTCCAGGGGAAATCCCTCCCTTTATCCCGATATCCCATCTCCACTTCCCGCCCCGCCCTTAGCAACGCCTCGCTCTCCCGTTGCTACGCGGAAGTGCCCTTTGTCCCGCCCCTTTCCCCTCGCACAACCAATCAAACCTCACACGCGCTCTGCCGCCACCAATCACAAGGCGATCCGCCCCCCTGCGCGGGCCAACGGGCGGGCGGTCCGCCCCCTGCGCGGGCCAATGGGCTGTCGGTCCGCCCCGCGGCGCAGGCGCGCGTGGAGCGGGGCGCTCTCCCTCATGTCGTGGCTGTTCGGGCTCAGCCGCGGGGCCGCCCCGGGAGGAGGCGGCGGGGATGGAGGGGCCGGCGCGGGCCCCGGGGTGGGGGGGAGCGGCCTCTCCCTGCCCCCCGCCCCCGGCGGGGCCGCCGCTGGAGGCGCCGGGGACCGCCAGGCGCCCAAGGACAAATGGAGCAACTTCGACCCCACGGGCCTGGAGCGGGCGGCCAAGGCGGCGCGGGAGCTGGACGCGTCCCGTGCGTGAGGGGCTGGGGACATCCGTGCCTCAGCGGGGCGGGGGGGTGGCCAAAACGGGGGGAAAAGGGGGTGCTCGGCGATGCGCCGGGCTCTGCTCGGGGTGTGGCGTGAAAGAAACCCCCCAGTCCTGTTGGTGATTTTCAGAAGTCAAAGAAAGGCGTTCTTTCCTCGGTCATCGTTTGGCCAAAGTGCAGCCCGGGGTATCTCCATAGCAGCTGTTACGTGGTTATTCGTTTTCCCCGCATTCCTGCTGCATATTCATGGCATTTCCCAACACCTGTTAGCACACGTGCATATCCTGGTAATATATATAAACATCCCCTCAGAGACCTCATGAGGGGCTTCTTCGAGGGGTTTTGGTGCTCTCCTCTGCCTGAACACCCTGTAGTTCTGCCTTGTGACCTTGTTCAGGGCAGTTCACTTGGTTATACAGCTCGGCTGTGTGTGCTTGGCTGGCTGCCTCAGTTCCCCTCCTCATCGTCTCTTTGTTCTGCTTGATTAGTCCCTTTAAATCACTTGGTGATTTATCTATCTAGATGTAGTTTTTAGGGTACATTCCACTTACATCTCCAAACCCCGACGTCAGGGGATGCCCAGAAATGGGACAAGAGGAACAGGCAGGAACTCATGCCTGGGAAGTTCCCCCGAATATGTGGAAGAACTTCTTTGCTGTGTGGGAACACATCCATTTTTGCCAGGGAGGGCTGAGTGTGCAGCTGCAGAGCTGTGCTCCAGGGAGCCAGAATGGATTGAATGATCTGAGCATCATCTTCCCTGAGAAAAGACCTTTCTCTGCCTGTAATCTCTCCCTGCTACCCCTTGCAGGCCACGCCAAAGATGCCCTCAGCCTTGCCCAGATGCAGGAGCAGACCTTGCAGCTGGAGCAGCAAGCCAAGCTCAAGGTATGTTGGAGCTTTGGAACTCCTGCTGTGTTGGACACCCAGCCCACCTGAGGCAGCTGCCAGGTTTGGGGAGGACAGGAGTTCAAATCTCTACCTGCAGAGGATGGTGAGGTTTTCCTGTTGCTGTTCAGGTTCAGCATTATTTGCTGAAGTTATTTATCTCTTTTTAAAAAAAAGCACTTCTGGGAGGTGAAGTACAAGCTGATTTGGCCTGTTCTGGGTGAGGACAGACTTACGTATGTTTTATAAAGGGATTTAAGGGTTATTTGAGGGTTGGTTTGGTGTATTTTTAAAAAAATAGTGTTTAATCCTGAAATGGTTAATTATGAGATTTCTTACAGTCATATTTTATGATGCTATTTAACTTTCTACTGGCATTGGTCACCTTTTAAGGGCACCACTCTGATTACAGATGGATTTCTTAGAATGTAGCTGTCAGTAGCATTTCTCTGTTAAGTTCATTTGTGATAATTATCCATTTTAACAGGAGTATGAAGCTGCCATAGAGCAACTGAAGAACGAGCAGATCCGGGTACAGGCAGAGGAGAGGAGGAAAACACTCAGTGAAGAAACCAAACAGCACCAAGCAGTAAGGGGATCAGGGGGAAGCCAAGTGATGGGAAACCCTCTTTGTGTCTTCCTTCGTGGAAAAGCCACCAGTGCTTTAATTACCCCTTTTGGGGCAGGGGGAAAGGGGCTCAGGGGCAGCCAGAGGTGTGGGGATGTTCACAGGCTGAGCCCGTGTTCTCTCCTGGCTTGGTAATGTTGAGCTTGATTTGTAGTTCCAGGCAGCTCTGTCCTCCTGAGCTCTCGTTGCCAAGTTTATGCTGATAGCTCATATGTGGTGGCTTTTTAATTTGAGAGCACAGGAGATGAGGGAATTGATTAATTCTGATGGATCGTCTCGCTTGGGAAATGAGCTGAAAGTGCTTATTTGGCACATGTTGCTTTTTATCCTGTCAGGGTTTGGACTTTGGACGGGGCTGGCTCAGGGAAGTTGGCTCTTCACCCCCTGCAGCTCCCAAGGCATCATTTGAAGTCAGAACAAGCTCAGCCCTGATTTACTCCTGGAGTGCCATGTTTTACAGTGGCTGAGGAGATCAATTCCAGGCTGTTCCCCCATCCATCTGTTTGGAACAGGGAATGGTTCCATCCCTTGTACAGAGTTCTCCTTGCTGATGGGTATGGACCCTCAGACCGCTTCTAGTGGAGTGTAGGTGGCTTGGGTTTATTTGCCAGTGGAAAATTGATAGAGAAATAAATGAGGAACAGGTAAATCTGTCAAAACCAGAGCCCGTGTGACAGGCAGCACATCTTGACAGGTCTGTTGCTTGCGGTCACCAGTCCAAATATTGTGTTTTAGAGCACGAAAACTCTGGTTTTCCCAGTGAATTAAGTAACTTCTGGGCCAAGAAACACTTGTTCTGTGTTTTTATTTCTGTAACACCTTAAAACAAAGACTTTGTAGACTTTTCAGCACAGAGGAGTTTTTGACACTGGCTGTCCCATATCTTGCCCTGTTCATGTTCAAACCCAGGGTTGGTTTTATTTTGCTTTTTTCCCCCCTGCACATTCCAAACCTCATTTCCCTCAGGTTCTTCTCTCTTCACTGCCAAATCTCTGTGTTCTGAGTCCTGTTTTTCTTTTTTTTTGAAGAGAGCCCAGTACCAGGACAAGCTGGCACGGCAGCGCTACGACGAGCAGATGCGACAGCAGGTAAGATGGATTCCTCCTCTGATCCAGCTGGGAATGGGGTAGGAGCTCTCTTAAACCCAAGAGATGATCTGGATCTGTGCCCTGGCCAATGGCTGGTGCTGGGCACAGTTGCTTTCATCTGTACTACCTGCTTGGCATCTGCACTGCTGGCCAGGCAAATCAAAGGTTGGGAATTAGGGCAGAGCAGCCAGGAGCATGGGATTAGGGGAATAAATCTGGGAGATGGGAAGAATGCACTTCAACCTGAGCACTGGCTTCTTGAAAACATTTGTAGGGCATGAGCTTACACAAATGCCTACTTGATGGAGTTCTTACCACTTTTAACACATCTTCTGCTGTCATCTCTGCCTGTAGCAACTTGCTAATGAGGAGAATCTGAGGAAGCAGGAAGAATCTGTGCAGAAGCAGGAGGCCATGAGGCGTGGTAAGTCATTTTTCTGTGGCTTGTAAGAGTGTGTGGCCCCATGAATTCCTTGTACTGATCTTTGACTCTTTGTCCATATCGGTTGATGCTCCGTTGATGTCACGTGTTTAATGTCACATTGGCAAGTAACAGGTAAATCCTGGTAGTACCAGAACTACCAGTTGCTTCCAAGATTAGTTTTACTGGCTGCAGTTCTAAACATTTGCCCTGGGGGTTTGCAGAACTCCAGTGGGATTCCACTGGGGTCCAAACCTTAAAATTGTTAAGGCAGTTCGTGTGTGACTCTGGGGGAATGAAAGGCCGGTTTGCTCCGAGCATGGATGTGGATGTGGATGGCTGTGCTGTCCTCTGCTGGCTGCCATCTAATGCACTCCCAGCATCTGAGGGAGGTGCTGTAGCATCCATGTGACAAAGCTCAGTGCTGAAACCCTGTAGGAGTGTGTTGTTTTACTCCTGCAGTGGGTTATTTTACTCCTGTAGTATCCCCCTGCTCACAAATACGAATGTCATGACGTGGGCAGCACTGAGGTACCAAGCAGCCCTGCTGGTGCAGTCAGGATTCCTTCTTCCTGTGAAGACAGAGGATGCTGGCTGTGAAACCCTCATCCCATCTCCTGGGCTGTTCTAGGTTTCTCACTGATGTGAAAGGAGATTTAATCTTAACCTGTCTGCCACCATTCCTGGTGTCTGCAGTAACAGAGCCTCCCAAATCCCATCTGGGCCTGGCAGCTCCGTTTTGCTTCTCATCCTTACAAGGGTTCTGCTCCCTGGGGTTAAGCCAGTCCAAAAGACTGAGCTGTTCTGGTGGTTTTAATTTTTTCCCAAGCTACTGTGGAGAGAGAGATGGAGCTGAGGCACAAGAACGAGATGCTGCGAGTGGAGGCCGAGGCCAGAGCCCGCGCCAAGGCGGAGCGGGAGAACGCGGACATCATCCGGGAGCAGATCCGCCTCAAGGCCGCTGAGCACCGCCAGACCGTGCTGGAGTCCCTCAAGTACGGGCAGGGACGAGCAGGAGGGCACAGCCTGCCTTGTTCCTTTGGCAGAGTCCTCCCATCATGTAGGGAAACTCGTTTATTCCTCAGAGCTCTGAGGAGTGTCGGTGTTGTACCCCGGGCACTCAGGGTGGATCTCAGGGAAAGGTTCTTCCCCCAGGGGGTTTGTGGGCACTGAACAGGCTCCCCAGGGCAGTGGGCACGGCCCCAAGGCTGCCAGAGCTCAGGGAGCGTTTGGATGATCCTCTTGGGCTCATGGTGTGGCTCTTGGGGATGGGCCTGTGCAGGGCCAGGAGCGGCACTCGATGATCCTTTGTGGGTCCCTCCCAGCTCAGCATATTCTGTGATTCTGAACAGCAGGAATTGTATTAACAAGAACCCTCTCTTTCACTTGTCTTGCTACACTGTCACCTGAATGTGAACCAGAGAAGCTATTTGTAGACTTGGGAGTTTTCTACAATTTTTCTATCATATTATTTCAAACCCTGTCCTCTAATATTGAGACTCAGATACTCTGAAACCCCTCAGTACTTTCACTTTCTGAGCGTATACCATAAAGTCTGTCTCCGGAGGGGTGGGTATTTAGCTTTGGAATTTGTCAATTTTAGGTCCTTTGAGATTTGGAATAACAAAAGAGCTTTAGAATTAAATACCTTTTAGTGCAGTTCAGCACCAATAATGTGTTAAAGAAATAAATACATACCATCTTGTGGCCAAATGTTTTTTTGGACTTAATCCCAGATCAGGTATAGACATCAGGTGATTATAAATGCATTTGCTGTGTTTGTTCATGTTTCAGTTCCATGGTGAGCCCTCACTTAGCTTTGGACTGGTTCCGAAGGAGATCATTATCAAGTTGTCCTGTAAATTGTTTCAATTCAGTCTTTGAAATCCCTTTTTTCTCCTTCTTGCCCTGCTGTTTGCTCACCACAGGACAGCTGGGATGCTCTTTGGGGAAGGATTCCGTGCTTTTGTAACAGACTGGGATAAAGTTACAGCCACGGTAAGATTGTGATACCTGCCAGTAACTTCCAGAGAAGTCTGTCTGTAAATGTGTGTTAAACCAACTCCTTGCTTTGGTGTGTTTATAAACTGGAGACCATGATGACCTAAAACTTGCTTTGCTGCTTTTATCACAGCTTTATATCTAATTTTGATGTAGCTTAGAGAGCACTTAGAGATCTGTTATGTGTCCTAAATAAATTCATTAAAAGCCAGACCAACATCTTTTCACAGGACAAAAGGGCTTCTTAGGGACACAAAGTTGTTTCTCAATTGTACTTCTTACCACAAAACTCCAGTGAAAATACATTTTTGGTAGCCTGGCTGGTTAAAATGGACATTTTGCTTTAAGTCAGGCACCATCACCTGCTCCACCCTCTGATTTTATACACACAGGCTGGTTCAAAAGACACTTTGAGGGAGAACAAGGCATGCTTTTAATGGATCCTTTTGTCATCTGTACCTGGGATGCCTCTGTATTCAGAGCCTTGTGCAGATCAGTGCTTGGTGCTTTGAGCTGTGTATTCACCTGACCCAGATACTGATTTCCTGCATTGTGGTCATTTTTGCTTCTGACACACTCTTGTCTTGTGAATTTGGGACATTTAGGTTAAAAAAAAAAAAAAAAGAAAAAGCAAATGTATTATTTGGAAAGGGGATAACACAGCTGGAACTCATATTTTCTGTTGCTTTGAAAAATGACTGTGAGGTAAGAAGTAGACAGTTATTTCAGGGTTCCTGGGAATGAGGCTGGAATTTTCAGCTCTTCCTGCTTATTGTATTGCTCTTTTCCTACCTCTTCCCCATCCAAGCAGAACCCCAGATGTTCTGCTCCATGTTTTTTGGGGCTTGTTATGCTTTTTAGTGGAAATTCACTTTGTTCCTTGATCAGAGATCCAGCCCTTTGCATGCTAACCAGGTAGGCACTGTAATCAGGCTGATTTTTAGAGCTAGCGTGGTAATTGGGTTCTTGTTTTGATACAGAGCTGTCAGTCTTACAGCTCCATTTCTCTGTCTCTTGTAACATGAACGTCAGGGAAGTCCAAAAATCTGAAATACTGACATCAGATCCATCCAGGTAGAGGTGTGAGCTGTGACTTTGCTCAGGACTGGGTGGTGTGGGAGTGCATGAATCAGGTGTGGAGGTTCCCTTATTCTTTGCATCCCAGAGCTCTCAGTTCTGAACCCTCCACGTTTTCCACCCCGAGCGAAAGTGATGTCACCCATTTAAGCAGAGAGAGCGAACAGATGGTGTCTCATGGTTTACTGAGCAGTGCCATCCTTGGTGTCCTTGGGGCTTCTGACCTTGGGCTGTACTTGCAGGAGAAGCCTGCTTATTTTAAAAGCAATTGCTGCAGTTTGCTCTTTTGTCTGTGTGGCCTTTCCCTGATGTAAATTATTGGCATCAGCTTTAAGCTGACTCCTAAGCCTGGAGTGTTTCTGCTTCACTGGCGAATCGATGGCAATGTCTCATCCTCTGGGGTTTCTGACAGAACAGTCTAATTCAGGGGTGGTAATTCCCATGTGGTTTGGGCTGTGGTACTCTGGAGTGCCTATTTCCCTGGCATGTTGGGACTGTCACCTTTGGCAGGTGTTCCCTGGCTGGTCCTTTCTGTTCCCTCCTGTGCACTGCCTCGGTGGCAGCCCCAGTTCAGATGTTCATCCTGGCATCTTTAATTCAGCATTCGTTGTCTTGCACAGTGAGGGGAGGTCTGGCAGACAGCACCTGGTTGATGTGGCTGTTTGTCTTCATTGCTCAAGTTAATTTTAAGTCTGAAAAGCCCCACACATTTTGAGCAGGATGTACATACCTCTGCACCCAGGACTGTATCCTTTCCTTGTGACTCCTCTGCCTTTCTCTGTGCAGTGAATGTCCCATGAACAGGGAGTGTGAGACAGTGACACCTCACCAAAAATAACCCCCTCTTGCTCAGCAGTCGTCCCTGAACCTCAATTCCCTACCAGGGGCTGCTCCACACAACACCATTGCCTTGCCAAGTGTTTTTTTCCTAACCCTTCCCCCTTTTCTTTGCAGGTGGCAGGTCTGACCCTGCTGGCAGTGGGGGTTTACTCTGCCAAAAATGCCACTGCAGTAGCGGGCAGATACATTGAGGCACGGTTGGGCAAACCTTCCCTGGTGAGGGAAACCTCCCGGATCACTGTGCTGGAAGCTTTGAAACATCCTATCAAGGTACAGCTCAGCTTTGCTTCTGTGTCACCCTCAGCCAGGAGGATGCAAAACTCCCTTTGCAGGGGGTCTCTGAATAAACCCAGTGTTGGAGGGAGCAGAGGTGGGCTGAGCTCACTGGTGTTTTATGACCTTTTTGTCCAGGTGAGCTGTTAAAATCCTGTGGCTGTTCTCTATGTGAGTAATTGAATTTGTCCCCTCTAGGTTGGTAAACGTCTCACCAGCAAGGCTCAGGATGCCCTTGAAGGAGTTGTTCTCAGTGTGAGTACTCTGTTTGCCTGGCCTGCTCCGTGAAGGATGGCTTTAGAATCTAAATAAGAAGGGCTGTTTCCTTAAACTCACTTCAAAAGCTGTAATTCCAGCAATTTTGGAGGCATAGCACCCTTGGGGCACCGAGACCATAAATAAGCTCCTGTGTTCAGTGTGACGTGCATTAAGCAGTCTGTTAACCTTTTCTCCTCTGTGAAAAGCAGTTGGAAATCGTAGCTCAGTCCTTGCTCTGCTGCAGTTTCTCTCTGGAGTCAGCATGTTAAGATTGACGTTCCACTTGTCCCATCTGATCCCTAAGGACCTTGATCTGCTTGTAGGCCAAAAAGTCCTAAGCACTGTGTGCATTTGCCCACCTTTGAATGGTTCTTGACTTGCTAATTAGTGCTGCTTCTGTATATTTGCTTCTGAGTTTGGTTCCTGGATATATCAGGCAAATTTAAGAGCTCCTTGAAGCTGCTGAGAGAAAATGCTCCTGCAGGAATAGCTTTCTCCCAGTATCCACAATTGCAGTAGTAAATATAGACATGACTTGTGAAGGAATTAGCACTGCAAAGAGTTGCTTGTGTTCTGACTTATCCCTCCCAGGGCATCCAGTAGGAAGTGAATATTTAGGTGGTACCTGTAGTAGTTACTCTATTATATTTAGGTGTTATCTGTAGTAGTTACTGCACTGCTTCCTGCACTGCTGCTTTTTCTTACAAAAGAACTGTAGCCAAGTGGACAGAAAATGAAGTAAATCCTGACATAGGACAGGAAATGAGCCTGGTCTGGAGTCAGGAGCAGCTGAAGTTAAGACTTAAAAGCTTGAGCCTGTCGGATGCTGCCTCCTTCTTGCAGGTACTGATCTGGGAAGCTGGCATAGGTGCAGGTCTCTTGGTCCTTTCTGTTCCTTAAGTTTTAACTCTTGTCTTGCAGCCACAGTTGGAAGCTCGTGTGAGAGACATTGCCATAGCAACCAGGAACACCAAGAAGAACAAAAGCCTGTACAGGAACATTCTCATGTACGGTCCTCCTGGCACTGGGAAGACTCTCTTTGCCAAGGTAACAACCCTGCCATTAAACCCCTATCCCAGGAGTTTTTCTGGCAGCGTGCCACCTAGTTTGGATTTTGGAAACAGTAGAGATGGACAGAAATGGAAGAAATAAACAATACACGAGTAAAAGTTGACACCAAGTGACTAAAGTACTCTCTTCTCTGAGCATACTGAGCCTCTGCCAATAAGCACACTGATAGGAGTAAACTCATCTTTTCTCCCTCATCTTCAGGGGCCTTGCAGTGAATGGAACTCTCTGCTTTTGTTTCCCTCCAGAAATTAGCTGTGCACTCAGGCATGGATTATGCCATCATGACAGGAGGGGACGTGGCCCCCATGGGGCGGGAGGGGGTCACAGCCATGCACAAACTCTTTGACTGGGCCAACACCAGTAGGAGAGGGTAAGTACCTGTTCCCTGGGTCCTGGATTAGGTTCTTGCTCTAAAAACCTCACCACAGCAATTCAGTTCCTGTTACTGAGCAATACTAGAGCACAGGGTGGGTAACACTGACCAAACGTGACATCTGAAGTTTTCCTGGAGTGGGGGAATTCTTCCTGCTTGGTAATATTTAAAAGGCTGAAAGCTTTTGCTCTTCTCTTCCCTCAAACCCTCCTTGTTTACCTCAGATTTTCCAGATCAGTCATAACTGGATTGTGAGCTGATCTCACCAGGCAGGGGGGGAGATGCTGCCCACTTGAAAGCTGGGACACGTTTCTTTCAGGGGGATGAGTGTTCTGACAGAAGTTAGAAGATTTAGCACAAATGGAGGTGCAACCAGTTGTTTACACTCTCTGAATATTATCTTCCCTCTTCTGCTGCCCAGATTATAAACACTGATAGTGTTTACTTTTGAGTTCTCAAGCAGAAGCAGTGAATTATAAGAAATAAATGAGGATAAGGAGGAGACAGATGCTAAAGGCGTTGGCATTAGGTGTAAAAGTCACAAGCTGTTGTGCTTTTTCAGTCACCTTTAAAAGCAAACTTCTGTCTGCAGACAAGCTATTGAGGCTAAATCTTGACTCCCTGATTTTGTAAGAGTATGGAGTTAATTTGCTCATCCTAATGCAAATGGATTTTTGCAGTGCAGAGGTAGCTGAGAAGTTGCTTGTCCAGCCAGGATGTTTAAATTAAATATAGAATTTTCAGTGGGTGTCAGTTTGGGTTTTGTGCTGTCTTGATCTCAGATCTTCTGTAAATATGGCCAACCAGTGATTTATGTGTTCTCTGATTGCTTTAGATGGACATTATCTTGCAGTGTCTGTTTTAATCCTTGCTGCATTCATCACCTAAATGTTTCTATTTCCCCTTAACCCAAAAAAAAAAAAAAAAAGGCACAGAAATGTCCTAAGAATTTAAATTTTTTAAGCTTCTCCTACCCTGAGGAGCTATAGAAGGGAAGGTGTGAGAATTTAAGCGAGCTCAGAAACAGAAATTGGAAGAGATGTGAGGATACTCAGCTGGATGGAGACTGCTGGATGCTCCCACTAAAGAATTCTCTCACAGCACTGCCTGGCTCTGAGTTCCTCTGCCCTGATAAAAACTTGCGTGCACTTGAACTTCATGCACCTCAGGTAGCCTGATCAAAGGTTACATGTGTCCAGATGAATATTCTCACCTCCAGTAACACTGAAGGATTTAAGCAGGTGTTACTCTGAATCTCCACCAGTGTTAGCTGTGAGGAAGTGTTGCCTTTATTAGCTGAAAGCTGTTGTGATAAAAGACACTCCTCTGTAGCTGAGAATATTTTCTGAGAGGCTGGGGTTGAGTAAAAGATGTTAATAGGCCCTGAAATCCCCTGGAAAAAAAGCTGGGTTTGAAGCTTGGCAAGGAGGTAATACAAGCTGTGACAGCTTTGTGAGCAACTTCTGTTATTGATAAACATCTTTACAGGCTTAGTCTCTTGGGAAGAGCACTGCCCTTGGGTTATAAGTGAATTTATTTTTGTGAATAATTCATGGACTTTATTAATTCACTGCTCCACAGGTAGTAAAAACCCTTAGTGCCAGTGTGGTTTGGAAGAGAAAAAACCTCTCAAAACAACAAAGCAAGTTGAGGAGGGGACTCTGGGTTGAGGTTCTTCAGAATGGCACAAGGAAGAAAAATGGCAGGAAGGTGCTGTTGCCACCAAGGTTTTTTCTGTGCTTGTGTGCCTGTCTTGTAACCCTGCACACATTTCTCTAAATAGGAGGCAATGATAAAATAAGCACTCTCTGCATTTCAGATATCTCCTGCAGCTTGGCTGTGACACACCAGCACTGTCAGATACAAGCCCATTGCCAAACCCTGCCTGTGAAAACTCCTAGGTATTTAAAAATCTGGGGGAGTTTGAGGTCATGGGCCCTAGAATTGCTTCAGTCTTCTGAACAGCAGGAAAAAAACACAACTCCAGAGGCTTGGGGTCAGATTTATGGCCTGAGGTGTCTCAATCCCATCCCTTTCTCAACTGCTGGGCAATGGAGATGTTGCTGCAGCTCGGTGGGAAGCGTTGCCTGAAGAAACGAGTTTGCCTGTGCAATCCTTTGGGAGCTCACCTGGGCACAGCTCTGGGTGCCTGGCAGTGGGGCAGGAGGATCCTTGGGCTGTCTGAGCCTCACTTACCTGTCCTGTTGCTGTGCTTTCCTCTCGCAGCCTCCTGCTGTTCGTGGATGAGGCGGACGCGTTCCTGCGGAAAAGGGCCACGGTGAGTGCTCTGTCTGTGTCTGTCACCAGCCAGCAGCCCTGTTCAGTCTCATTAACTGCCTTCCACTGGCAAGAGATGAGGGCTGGCAGGGGCCTCGGTGCTCACCTAATTAACTGATGCAGAGACAAGACATCAGCATCTCGCAGCTCAGCGGAATGAGCATCTCCAGCCCGACTGAGGGTCCCTCCCTGCAGGGGATGGGTGGCACAGCAGCAAGGAAAGAGGCATATCTTGAAAACAAGAGGGAGGTTGCTCACACTGCAGAGCTGGTGCCCTGCAGGGTTTGTGTTTTCTCCCAGCAGATGTTTATCTCAGGGGGTTTTTTCATGACAAAACTACTTTTTGCTATGTTAGCAAAGCTGCACCAGCATCTTCCCCTCGACAAATAATTTGTGTTTTCAAAGTCAGTCACCACACTGTGCATTCAGTCTGGACCTGCTGCTTGAACCCCAGTGGTCTATTTAAAGAGCTCTCTCTAGAAAACTGCTTTGAGTGTATAAGTGAAGTCTTTGCTCTGGCTTATTTTCCTGTATCTTGCTGGACTTCCCAGCTAAAATAGTGTTCAGCAGGGAAAGCCACCTGGGCCAGTGGCTGCAGCCTTGGGTTTGGAATCAAAATCACTGGATGAGTGTGGATAAATATGTAATCTCTACTGGAACCTTTAGTTCCTAACATTTCTCCTGGGTATATAAATTGATCCTTTTCCCCCAAGGTATTACAGTGGTTTGGGTTCTACTGTAATTCAAGTGCTTGACAATAACAGAACTCCCCTTGTCCATAATGCTGCTTAGAGCTGTGACCTGGCTGCAGAGCCCAGCAGCTGATCTCCCTTTGGATTTCATCTTTGCAGGAGAAAATCAGTGAAGATCTCAGAGCAACTTTAAATGCATTCCTGCACAGAACAGGGCAGCACAGCAACAAGTGAGTATCCAGTTCCAGCCCTTCCAGCAGCTGGGATTTCTCTGGATGGAGGAAAGGTCTGTAAAGGGTCTGTGGTGTACAAATGAAAGTTGGGAATGATATGTGCTGCTGAGGGCTTAAAAAAAAAATCTGCAAACAATCTCCCCTTTTCAATTTATGTGTTGAGTGCAACTTGCTCCTCCTTTATCCCTTCCTGGCACTTGGAAAACAGAACTGTGGAGAAATTGTTTCCTGAGACTGGGATGGTGTTTGGACAGCTTGATTAATGTTTTCTTTTTTGATAAGTGGCTGTTTATACAAGAACAATATTGGGCCCATGAAAATCAATATCACAAAAGAGAGCTCGGAGTTGATCCTGGCTGGATGCTCTTGGAAAAAAATACTTCAGCAGGTGCTTCTTTGAGCTGCTGTTCCTCTCCAGTGCCTTGGTGACCTCTTTCCACCTGGTGCATGTGTGTGTGCAGGAACCTGGGGGCAGATGAGTTCAAATCTGACTCCATTCCTTTCGCCTGAGCTGCTCAGAACATCTGTGAGCAGCGCTGCTCGTGAATTCAGGGATCCCAGAGCTGTTCCCTTCCCGGGTTTGCTGAACGTGGGATTGCAGGGCTGAGCTGGCAGATGTCTGTGACTGTCACTGTCCATCCAGCCGTGCTCACCATGTCACATTGATGTGAACTTCCTGCACAGCACTGCTTGGTTTAACAAAACCCAGAATAGAGAGGTGACCTTTCCTCGACCTTTTTCAAGTAATATTTGATTTTTTTGGGGATGTGTGTGTGTGTGTGAACTTTACTTAGTTGTTAAACTTGTACAAAGAAATTGAGCCAACAAGAAAAGTGTGTGTATGCAGGAGAGTGAGTTTCTTGTGATGAATTGCTCCCTTAGCAGTGTTGGAATGAAATAGCTGTTACAGTAACCTCATGACATTGAAAGGAACATTCAGGAAGGACAAAAGCAGGGCATTTTCCATCCTCGGGGTGTCTTGAAATAAATGGTTAGAAAGCAAGGTGTTGAGCCTGCAAGAGCTTCATTTTTCCCTTTGGGAGGATAGCAAATCTCTTCTGAAATTATGCAGAGAATTGCTCTGTAAGGCTGAGTTTATTGTTATTAAATGATACTGTACTTGCAAGGCAGGGGGTGGCAGGGTCAGGGTTCTTTCAAGGGGAGGGTTCTTTCTTTCCCCTGCTGTTAAATTGCTCTGGCTCTGTTTGGGTGCTGGGGGTGCTCTGCCTCCCCTCAGAGCAGTTGAGCAGATGTTGAATTCAGCCCTGCTTTAAACCATGAGCCATTCTAGGACGCTGAACATGCCCTTGTGATTCATGCACTGCTTTTGACTTCTCAACAGCCTTATTGCTGCTTTGGGCAAGGAGGAGTCCTGGATCCATGAACGGGAGTTCACTTGAATAAGTGTAATGGGCCATGTAAATGTGGCTGCTTTGGTGAGACCCTGAGGAGAACTGTTACTTGAGCAGTGAATTGTCACCAGCATAACTGAGCAATGTGAATTGCTGGCTTAAACCTCCCAACATCTTCTTGCTGGGGTATCAGACTGTGCCAGCACCTCTTGCTCATTTGTGTCGTTGTCATGATGGAAACGAGCAGTGCCTGAGGATCAGGTTGAATATCAGCCCTTTATCCAGGCTGTGTTTCTGCAGCTTGGGGGAAGTCCTTGTTGGGGAGAAAAGCCACAGTTTCCTGCCTCTGTGGCTCTTGGGTTGGCAGAGTTATCCTCAGAAATGACAGCAAGGAACACGGCCCCTTGTAGACCGTGATTCAAACAGACAAGAGGAACGTCGATATTCCAATAGCTGTGGTTAAAAGCCCATTGCAAATTATTGTGCACTATTAAGCTGGTAACATCAATTAAAGCATTAAAGTATTGGCACAGGGAAGAAGCATCATTACAAAGCAAAAAAAAAAAAAGGATTTTCTAGCTTCAAAATGCAGCAGGAGAGAGCAGGACCTGGAAGCAGCACATCTGTACAGCGGAGCAGAGCTTGGTGAAACAGAGCAGCTTTGGTTCATGATGTTCATTCTGAATGTCTCTCTGCACACATGAGACTGTTCTGAATAGCCCAAACAGCACTGCATTTTAGCATGGGCCTTGAGATGCTGTTACAAAGCTGTTTCTAGGGTATCTTCATCTCCCCAGGTGATGAAATGTCTTTGGTACCGACCGTGGCAGTTCCCGATGTTCAGACGAGTTCATTGATTTTTGTTTTTACGGGTTTTTTGAGTCTTTCCTCTCCTGTTTTCATCATTCCAGGTTTATGCTTGTTTTAGCAAGCAACCAGCCTGAGCAGTTTGATTGGGCTATCAATGACAGGATAGATGAGATGGTGAACTTTGATCTGCCCCAGCTGGAGGAGCGGGAGCGGCTCGTCCGGATGTATTTCGATCGGCACGTCCTGAAACCAGCCACAGAGGGCAAACAGTGAGTGTCCCTGCACACCTCCCACCCTGGGCAATTCTGTGGCTTTTCTTCACCTCCTTTTCTGTGTGTTTTGTATTTTGTCACTTTAACCAAGTGGCACAGTGAAGAGTTGGAGAGATGCCTCTCCCTGTTACAGGATGAGATGCCATCCTAGGATTTTGTGTCACGGTTTGCTGTGGCCTTAAAATTTAGGAGGCTGCTGCAGTGGAGGCCATAATGCAAGTAGCAACACCATTGGAACTCCAGTGTCATGTGGCTAAATGTCAACTAACCCTGGTTCCTGTGTCTCCCAGGAGGTTGAAGTTGGCCCAGTTTGACTATGGGAAGAAGTGCTCGGAGATCGCCAGGCTGACCGAGGGCATGTCTGGCAGAGAGATCTCACAGCTTGCTGTAGCTTGGCAGGTGAGTGGGGCTTTCACACTGGGCTCCTTCTCCCCTTCTGGAAGGTTTGAGGGTCAGATTTTGGATTCTTGGAGCTTGTCTCCCTTTGAAAGCTCCATTATGTCCATAGGGTGGTCCCACAACGCTCCTGGCTCTGGGGTGGGTGTCAGAGTATCAGCACAGCTCCTCATCTCATAAACAGGAATAGTTTTGATGACCATAGAACCATCCAGGTTGAAAAACACCTTCAAGATCATCAAGTCCATCACTGGTAGAAAATCCCTCACTGAATTTAGGTAAAGCAGGTGAGTTTGAAATGGGTTGGGGGCAAATCATGCTGGCCATGACTGATGGTCCAGCTCAGGAAGTGCCTCAGGTATCGACAGCATTAGGGCACTAAACCCCCCTGCTTCCCTACTTTGTTCTAAACACATTTGTAGTGCAACTGGAGTAACTAAAGAAACAAAACCAACTGGAAATGGAGCATTTATTTCTCCCTATATAGAAATAAAAAAAGCAGTCACTTGGAGTACAATTATTCACCTGCTTAACAAGCTTAAGCGCTTCTTTTATTTTTAAATCAGCCTTTCACCTTGTTTTGTCACAGCTGCCAGTTTCTTAGGGATTGTGCATTTTCATGAACTAACCTAGAAATATCAATTTAAGGAATATGCTCCAAATTGTACCTCATGTAGCTTACCCATGTCAGCTTCCTTTCAGGGATTGAACAAACAAAGTGGCTTTTTGTTTAGTTTTTAAATTTTTTATTTAGTTTAGCAGGTCACCAACATTTTACAAAGTTTATGCATTTCATTCCTCCTACTACTGTTTTTTTCCACCTTTAAAGGTACAGAAAATATTTATCCTTTCTAACCTAAATTAATTTGAACCTCAGCAATCATGAGCTGAGGGTCCAAAGCAGCCATTTGAGAGCTGTTATTTTATTCTTTGGTAGCACACAGCTGGTTAACTTTACTAGGTGAATTTTGTGTTACTGAAGCATATTTCAAACTCTGTGCTGTCATCTGCCCCATGTGTGCTAAAGGCTTTACTGCCAGGTATTTCCAGTAATAAAAACTTGTGATAAATGATCCTGTTGCTTTTTATCACCCCTTATCTGCAAGCTTGTCATTAGTCCCCAGCAATGACCTCAGCTTTTATCATTTATCCTTTAAGTGATCATGAAGGAAGGGGAAGGTGGGGGTGACTAATTCCTCAGCGTTGCCCTGATAGCTTTTTAAAATGTGCCTCATAGTGCCAGGCCTATTAACAAGGTTCCATGGCAAATTGCAGCAGGAAGTTCTCTCCTCTCTGCTGTCATAAAACGCTCAAAGTGGTTTAAAATAAAACCGTGCAGGAGAGGGTGGGCAAAAAATACACGGATTGCTTTGATGTAGGAGCTGCAAGAAGCTTCATCTGTGTCAGAATCAAAGTTGCTGGTGTGCTGGAACAGGGGGCTCTGTTGTTGGGCAGGTGGGGTGTGCCAGGTGGGGACTGGACATGTGGATGGTGTTTCCTTGGTGAGGGCATCCAGAATGGGATAAAACTTGTCTGGAGCACTGCCCTGGGAGCTCCCTGGCAGAGCTGTAAACTCTAAACCCCTGCTGATCTCCTGAGTGGTGCTGGTGTTCTGGGTTTAGCACCAACAGAGAACTTGTAGAGATCTCTGTAGCTGGTGCAGCGCTCTGGGCTATCAGGGCAGGATTAAAGCTGCATTTACAAGCATTCCTGGCAGTGCTATTCCTGCCTTACATTCCTGCCTTCCTGCTCCCCTTCCCCTGGTGCTGGAGCACCCCTGTGCATGGCTGTGCTGTGAACTGGGTCAGGGAGCTGAGCAGAGTTAAAAATAGCCTGGCAAGGCAAGTGAACTGCATAGCTACAGTGCTGTGGCACATCCCAGGGAGGGGATCAGGGGAGGTAGGGGCTGTAGGAACCAGCATCACTGACTCAAAAAACGCTTGTCAGGCTTCCCTCAGCTGCATGGAACAGCTGTAGGGTGGTTGTGTGCTGCAGATCCACTGTTAACTCTTGAGCTGTTGGTCTCCTAAACTCCCTGTACAGCTGAATTTTGGATTCAAGGTGCTGCATGCCAGAGATGGCTGATGTGGGAAATAACCTGGTCACAGAATCCATGAACATCCTGAGCTGGGAGGGATCATCAAAGCCCAACCCCTGGCCCTGCCCAGGATAAACTCCATAATCAGCAGCACCTTTGTGAATGCACACTTGAGTTTTACCCATGAAATCAGGGACCTGATGGAGTTTGGAGATGCCATCAGCTCTTCCTGCCTTCCCTGGGGTCACCTCTCCTGGCCAGAACCGAATCTCGGGGGTGGTTTGGGGAGGGGTGAAGTTCTGAAGCAGCTGGAGGAGGAACCATCACAACTGTCAGCCCTTGCCAGGAGTACCTGGGCAGCAGCAGTGCCACTCTGCTGCCCTGTGGCCCTGCAGCCAAGTTCCCAGGAAAATATTTTTTGGATTCTTCTGCCAATATTGCCCTTTAACAAAAGCATCTCAGTTAAACTGAGCAACAGCTGCAGCTTTCCTGGGCTTAATTCCACCATAAGCTGGGCTTGAGATGGATTGGCTGTCATTTACACCAAGTTCTGGTTCACTCTTGTTTCAGTCTCGTTTGATTTGTCCTGAATTTACCAACAGAAAAAAAAAAATAAGATGCAGAGAGGCAGAGAGTGTAACCTCTAGCACTGGGAAAAATATTGCTGTCTGGCACAGCTAATAGTCTGCGTGCTAGAAATCCATTTTAATCTCTTCTGCAGGAGACTGAGCATTCCCTTTTGTCCTTGTGCTTTTCCATCCCCCAGATCTAACCCTTTAGGACTAGAATATGGACTGGGTGCATTTATACACTGAAAAACTCCCTTCAGATCTGTTTGTAGTAATGTGCAGCCTTTCTAGCTCTGCACCCTGTGCTTAAAACCCCTTGATGTGCTTTAGATAAAATGTCAAAAAAAACCCAAAACAAAAACCAAAACAATCAACCTTTCACTATTCCAAGCTGTAATCTTGGAAAATTGTTTTGGCAGCACATCAGGAGAATTCCCAGGAGTTTTATGTCCCAGTGTGAGCTTCCTGTCATTTCCTTGCCTTTTATGCCACTGACACAAATGCCTTTTTACTCCCTGAACCTTGTTTGTGTTTTAAAAATAGTGCTTGTGTGGGATTTTTTTTTTATCAGGCTATTTTTATTATAAATGTGATTCGAAGGATACAGATTAGTCTGGCCAGGTTAAAATAAACCAGGAGTCTTGGCTGAAATGAAGCATGAGGTCATCTAGGCTAGACTTGTCATCTGTTCCTCCCTCTACTTCCCCACCAAACACTTTGTTTTTGGCTTATTTCGTGATTGGAGTGGAGCTGTAAACCAGGAATAGCTGCACTAGGAGAAAATGGGTTAAAATGTGTCCATGCAGGAGGCAGAGGTATGAATATAAATGAGCCTTGGTACCATTTTTGTGTGTGTGCAAGCTACTCCCAGAAGGGGCAGCTGCTTCTCCCATTTGCTTTCTTGACAGCAAGGGCCTGAGGCTTTCTAAAAATAGAAAGTCATTGAGAAAATCAGCAGAGCGTGAACTGCACAGCTTTGCAGGAGGTTCCACAGTGGGCTGGATGGGCTGTGCAGTGGCAGGGAGGAGGGGAGGGGAGGGAAGGAAGGCATCCTCTGTCTGTGCTGTGCAGACACCCCAGTGCATCCCAGGAAAGCACCTTGGCCCTTCTCAGACACCCCGTGCTCCTGCCTGGGGGGGGCTGCATTGGCAGGTCCTGCAAGAAAAAAACTGGACAGGGGGGTGAGGGAAGGCAGGTGAGGCTGTGGTGGGTGTTGTGTAAATATTTGGCAGGTTATGGAAGCTGTGCTTTCCTCCTGGTGGGGTGGAAGTGGCAGCCTGGCTGTGCTGAGGATGCCTCCTGCTCTGCCGGTGAAAGCAGGACAAGTGCTTTTAATGCAGAGTGAATTCTCTGTTTACAGACCTTCTCCTTCCCTGTGGCCACTGTTTACTCCTAATCTCAAGCAGGAGCATTAGCCTGACTTCTCACTGCTGCCTGAAGGAAGGATTGCAAGGGTTTTGCACAGGGAAGGATCTTTGCAAAGGGTTTGATGCTTCTTGCAGGAAAAACCAGCTCTGTGGTTTGTGCAGAAAGCCCTTTTGTGAGCTAACCAGTTCCCCAAAAAGGGCTGGAAAGTAGGTTAGAGGAGGCTGAGAACCAAACTGGGTGACCTTTTGCTCATTTCTTGATATAATTATTCCTCCTGCAGTGAGGTAACACCAGTCTAATAGGCAGGTATAACCTACAGTACTGGGATGGTACCTGTGCAACAGCTTATCCTGGGCTTTGTCTCCTCCCTCATCATCATCATCACCTCTGGCCAGGGGGTGCAGGAAATGGTCTCACTGGAATTTATTTCTGTGGTGCTTGTGCAGTAAACTTCATTTCCTGGTATAACTGATGTTTTGCACTGTTGATGACTGATGGAGCCTGCGTGCAGTCCCTTACAAACACCTCAGTCTGTCGTGAAAGCCCAGGTTAATATTCCTGCCTGGGATGTTGCAAACCCTGCAGAGAGATTGTCCAGGCCGTGACAGCTCTGTGGAGGGAGATGTGGGCAGAAATTTGGGGCTCTTTAGGGCAGGCAGTGTGGGTGTGAGGAGCTGGAGGGGGTCCCACCCTGCGTGGTGTCAAACCCCCTCATTCCATAACTGCACAGGGAACAGGACATGGATTCGCTCTTGCAGGGGAGCACTTGCAGGGGGAGGAACCAGATTTAGAAATCTGCAGCTTGGGAGTTGCTCTGTTTCCTTGGAGATGGGTGCAGTTAACAGCATAAACATCCTCCCCTTGCTCGGAGGGGACTGGCTGCACGTTGTCACCTGCAGGATGATCAGTGCAGTTCCAGCTGCCCTGGCTGCGTGGGCCAGGGGCACAGTCCTCTTGCTGCAGCTGGAGAGGAGTCCCACAGCCCTGCATCCCCTGGGGGGTGTTTGGCAAGGCTGTCAGGAGTTTACAGCCCTTTCTCCGAGGGGCTGTGATCAGATTTGTGCTGCCTGTTGTAGCAGCTGCAGGACCGAGTGCTTACCAAGCACGACTGGAGGGACAGGAATTGTGGGATGAAAAGAAGGGGGACAAAAGGGTACAGGGGGAGAGCTGAGCATGAGGAAAGCAAGATCACTGCGTGTTAGACATCACTGTAGAGATGCCACCTTGCCCATATTCACCCCAGCACTGGTGCTGGTTCTGCTGTGCAGGTGTTTCAAACATTTCCTGTTGCCTTGGGTGGGCTCATTCAATCCCCATCCTGCCCCTGCTGCTCTTTACCTCACTGGCTTCCCACAGTGCAGGGCTGCTGAAGCAGGACAGGGAATTTCAACAGGCCAGGTGTGGCTGCAGCCTGACCATGAGTTCAGCAGGGTTCACTTTGTCTCTTCTGAAAGCAAAGATCTCATCTCCCGGGAAATCCAGAGGCAGGAGGGCCGAGGTGCCTGTCGTGCCTGTCAGCGACCGCTCCGGGTGCCACCACTGCCTGAGAACCAGCCTGGGGGTTGTGCTGGGGGGGTGTGGGGGAAAACATGCACGGAGAACAAGAGAGAGCTGCCATCCCTGACCTGTGTGTCCTGCCTGTCCCTCTGCAGGCAGCAGCCTACGCCTCCGAGGACGGCGTTCTCACCGAGGCCATGATCGACGCCCGCGTGGCCGACGCTGTGCAGCAGCACAGGCAGAAGATGGAGTGGCTGAAAACAGAAGGTGCTGAAGAAAACAAAGGGACTGGTGGGAACCCCCTGCTGCCCTTCCCCAGAGGAACCCCGGTGTGAGAAGTCTGCAGGGCTTCGGACCAGCGCGCGTGGGGCTGAGGCCCCGGGAGAGAGCTGGGAGGGTCTTGTGGTTCGGTGGGATGGTCGGTTGGGAGAGGTGTGTCCTTTGGTGCAAGGGAAGGGGTGCTGCCTCAGCCTGCCTTGGATCTCGTGGTTTTAAACTGCTCCAGAGAGCAACGTGGTTTAAAGGAGGCAGAAGCAACTGAATTAAAGGACCCCTTTGCTGAAATACCACTGGCTGTGTTGGTCTGTGTGGCCTGTCCTGCTGGAGGGGCCCAAACCCCAAATCCCTTCCAGCCATTTCACATTTCTGCAGTGTCCCAGAGCCAGTGGGAGCCAAGGGCCTGTCCAAGCCTGCTACTCCCATGTATTTCATTTGTGAGGTTTATGTCCAGCAGAGGTATTTCTCACCCTTTTTCCCCAGATCCATGACCTACCTCCTTGCTCACATCCCCACGTGGCATCCCTCTTGTGTTGTCCTTCACAGGCTCAGAACAGGCTTTGTGTTCCAGGGGTGGATTTGGTGTGACTCACCTGCTTACCTTGGGGTCCACACAGGTAGTCTGAGAGCAGCCCCAGGAATTTTTCCCCCAAGTAACTGCCCTTTCTCTGCAGGAGGTGAGCAGGCAGGGCTCAGGGGGTCTCTCTGGCACAAAGGTGTCCAGCACAGTCTCCAGAGATGACAGGGGCTCCTTTGCTCCCACTGCTGCCCTCCAGCTGCTCTTGCAACTCGAGTCTTGTGCTGCATTTCTGGAGCAGCTGAGAACTGTGCCATTGTCAAGTCCTGAACACGAGCCTGTGTTGATGAGCTGACATTCATTCTGCTTGTGAGCATATAAGAGACAGGTCAGAACATCTCCTGATTTTTTTTTTTTCCTGAGTTTGAACTGCATTTGAACCCTGTGCTCTGCTCTGAGGCCCTTTCTGTAACTACATGGTGCAAACATGACCCAAATCTGCGCCCTTGAGTGCCTTGCTGAGCTGTTCTCCTCACACAGGAACCGACAGCAGCCTTTTCTCACTGGTGGTTGTGGCTGAGCTCAGGGGCTCACCTGGCAGGAAGGAGCTGGTGGGCTCAGGAGCAGAACCAGGCAGGCCACTGGTGTCCCCAGCTCTGCTGCCCACCCTGGTGCTGTCACTGCTGCTGCTCCTGTGCAGTGGGACAGGGGAGGGAACTCCTGCCTCCTCCAAGATCTAAAGGCAGGGCCCTGTCACCTCTGGCAGCCTCCCAGGCCATCAGCTCCAGGGTGACTGCTGTCCCTGTGGAGGTGGCACCCAGCTATGTAACACTCCCTGCAGGGACAGGGGATGGCAACCCCAGGCTGAGGTGAGCTCCTCTCATGACACTGAGTGAGTTACGAGCCAACAGCACTTTATTAAAATGGTATTTTGTGGTGGAGAGCAAATCTCAGAGCAGATGGATTAGCAGGCAATCCATCACTCCCCAGCTTGGTCTGTGCCAGCTCAAACGTGCTCCCCTGTGCTCCAGCACTGCAGCTGGGAGGCAGATTTACAGCCTGGTCACCTCTGTCTCCTCCCTGTTGCCATCCTTTGAAGTATTTACTTCTGGATGTGACGCAGGGGGAGCAAAGTCCCGCTGTGGAAGCACGAGGGTGTGAGCACCGTGCGCTGTGGCACTCGGGGAGGGGGAGTCTGCCCGGGAAGCTTTTCTCTGCCAACCTGTGTCTGTGTTTGGAATGGAGAAGGAACACTCAGAGTCTTTTATAATGCCTTGTCTTGGGTGCTGGGTTTTATTTACTGCTCTGCCCTCACGGGGAGTCTGCGCCGGGCCTGGGATGTGCCCGGGCTTGGAGAGCGACACAATCTTTGTGCACAAGGACTGGGGTCCCACCCGGGCTCAGACCTGCTCTGTCTGTGGGTGTGGTTCTGTTCCAGCCAGGAGCAGACTGAAGGATGGTCAAGGGCTGGGTGATGGTGGCAGATTTTGGTACTGCTGGAATGGGAAATATTCCCACTTTTCCTTCTCCGTGCCAGAGCCCTGAGTTCCCTGCACTTTTCCTGCCTTTCTGGCCTGTGCAGGCAACACGAGGGGCCCAGGCTGCTCTCTGGAGGTAACTTGCACCCACAATTGAACAGTTAAAATATTTATCTCCCTTTAAAATCACTTCTGGACCTTGGAGCTTCCCTGTGATCCCAGTGAGCAGGAGGCAAGCAGGTGAAAATCTGGGACAGCGTCCTGTGATGTCACATAACCTGGGGGGAATCACCCAGCCCTTCTTCAGAGATCAGGACAGGTTTTCCCACACCTTTCCAGCCTTGCTGGTACCTTCTCCTCCTCCTCCTCCTCTCAAGCCCCTGCCCAAAGCTGGGGAGCTGCTGCTCTGCAGTGCCCCAGCCCCTGCCCTGGGGGTACCCTGGGGGTTCAAAGGGTTGGAAAAAAACCACTCAGATGCAAAACATGCAAAAAACTATTTTACTGACAAACAGCAAAGGACGGGCTTAGTTCCAGGAGCTGAACTGGTTATGTACAAACATCTTATTGAAAGGGAAGGAATGGCTGAAATACACTCCACTCATTGACCCAAATAAAATCACAGTGTGCTTTTTCTATTGCCTCCCCCCTCACCCCAAGCTCTCTCTGCGCCTTCAGCTGCTCCCTCAGCACAGGTTGTCACCCCTCCAGCACAGCCACTGGAGAGCACAAACCCTGGGTGACATCTGCCCGTGCAAGTATATTGAATAATAATAATAAAAAAACAAAATTAGCCATTATTGCTTTTCAACCACAGTAGAGATTATTCTGTGATCAGACTCGGGGCAGAGCGTGACCTCTCTCTCTCAGTCTCGACGTGTGCTGTGCCTCTCCCTGCCTGGTGCATGCAAAACTGGTTTGGGTGCAGAAAAAAAAAACAGAAAAGAAGGAGTAACAATCAGGGGAAAACAGCACTGCAAGCTTTGTTCTCGTCGTTCTCAGTGACAAAATCCACCCCAGCTGAGTGCTCTGTCCTGCAAGGGCTTTCCCTGCCTTGGTCAGCCTGAGCCCCCCTGGGCTCGCCCCTCCTGGGACCCCTCAGCTCCCAGAGGGGACTCGGAGTGGCAACCCCTTTGGACAAGCAGTGAGTGCAGATGGGAGGGAGGCACTGCAGGAGGAGGAGGCTCATGCAGTGAACACGTGAGGACACGGCTGGGAGTGCACACACATGGACCCGGAGTGGGACCCTGGGGGCCCAGCAGGACCCAGCAGATGGGCAGCCCAGCTCCTCCTTAACCTGCCACGCTTCCCCACTCCTCTGCTTCCTTCTCTGCCCCTGCAGAAAGATTGTAGACTTGGCTTTTTTAATTTATTTTTTTTTTCACTAAGCTCACTTGCTGCTTCAGGTTCTCCTGAGCACCCCAGTGGGCTGGACTGAGAGGACACCTCATCTGCACTCCATCCTGGGGTGGAACCTGCAGTCCTGTGTCCCTGCCCTGCCTGTCCCCTGCCCTCCATCCCAGATCTATCCCACCAAAATATCCAGGCTGGAAAACCACTGATCCCAGTGTCTGCTTGTACCGCATGCTCTAGTACTTTCCCCCCACAGAACGGTTTGATCTGGAAAGGATCTCTGGAATTCACTTAGTCCAATTCTGCTGCTCAAGCACAGCCACCCAGAGCAGCTTTCCCAGCCTTCCCTCACAGAAGGGATGCTCCAGTCCCTTAATCACCTTAGTTGGCTGTGTTTAACATCCCTTTTGATCAGGGATTCCCTTCTCCCAGCTGAGCACAACCAGAAAATGAGGTAGAACAGCTGTGAGAGTAACTAAACCCACCCCACCCTGCTGCCAGTGCCCTTCCAGGCTCCCTCCTGGCCTTGGACTGATTATGGATAAAGTGCTGCCAGGTCTTTCAGCCAGGATGGGCCAGTGGATGTGTCCCTGGCTGGCTCAAGGGCTGGCTGAGCAGTAAGAGGGTACAGTGGATGGATGGATGGATGGATGGATGGATGGATGGAATCACATGAGACACCTTCCCAAACTGTTCCTCGGAGAGGAAAGGTCCTTCTTGATGTTTCTATGGGCAAAAGGGGTTTATTCAGCAGTGCTGGTACTGAGGACAGGATCTGATTTTAAAAAGGAGCTACTGGTTGATGCAATGGATTTCTCAGTCCCCTGCTTTTCTCCACCTGGCTTTCCACTCCTCCCCTCTGCAGCAACCAGCACACACCCATGGGATGTGCAGGCAGCCAGGCCTGGGCTCCTCACACCAAAAACACGGGAGAACATTCCCAGTGCCAATCCCAGCTCTGGAGGATCGACACATCCACTTTTAAGCTCTGTCTCTGCTCTAAAAATATCCCACACACCCCCCCTCACCCTCCACCAGCACCACCAGAGCCTCTCTCAAAGCATCTGGCGGGCGAGTGCTGAGACGGGGCCGGCACTTCCCACTCCCCTGCCCTGCAGATCCCGTTCCTGTATCCCACAGATCCCATTCCTGTGTCCCACAGATCCCATTCCTGTGTCCCACAGATCCCGTTCCTGTGTCCCACAGATCCCACTCCTGTGTCCCACAGATCCCACTCCTGTGTCCCACAGATCCCATTCCTGTGTCCCACAGATCCTGTTCCCGTGTCCCACAGAGCTGCCAGCACGGCCACAGCTGCCAGCTCAGAGCTTTGCACCCCCTTTCCTCTCTGCCTGCCCTTGTTTTGTCAGCTCCCTGATGCCAGAGTCACCCCCAACCGAACCCTTTTTGCCTGGGGTTGTTGCTGGGTTTGGGTGTTGTTGTTTTTTCCATCTGTGGTTGGTTTTTTTGGTTTGTTATTTTGTGTGTGTGTGTGTGAAGACTGGATCAGAGGCAAGAGAACAACAAACAAGTCAACACTAGCACATCTGGGACAATTGAACAAGGAGGAAACACCCCCACACCAGAGAGAGAAGCAAAACAAACACGTGCACAGAGGAACAGCAGACCACGGACAGCAAGAGCAGCAACCTCACTGGGACAGGGGGACGAGAGAGGACACATCAGACAGGACTGGGAAGACTCCCCCTGGAGCAGGATCAGCTGAGAGGGTGGCAGGCAGGGAGAGCAGGGGCTGCAGTGCAGTGATGGGTACCCAAAAACCTCCTCCACCTTCTGCTTCTCTTGGGGGCTTTGTCACCTCGTTCCCCACAGAGGGGACATGGCTGATTTCTGTGCATTTAAGACCATAAATGACTGACTCCCAGTAAATTTAATTGCACTGAGACCGTCTTTGATTTATTTTTTTTGGCTGTGTGAACAAGAGAGAGGCTCACAAGGTGAGAGCTACAGACCCAAATTATAAAAAAAAAAAAAGAAAAAAAAAGAAAAAAATCTGTTCTTAAATAATGGGATTATGTATTGTGTGGGATTTTTTTTTTCTTTTTCTTCCAGAGCCTCCTGCTCTTCTGAAATTTCACTGTGGGTCAGACAGATCAGACTTAATGAGTGAGAGCCATCACTTCACTCTTTCCAGTTGTCCCATATTTAATAATATTTCAACCAAGGGCAGCTGCTAGAGCAGGGCAGAACCAGGCTTTATATTCAGTCTGACTTTAAGTCACTGCCTTAAGTCTCTCTCATGAGAGGCTCCAAGTGGAAAGATTATTTAAAGTGCTTTTTCCTTCCCCCCCCCTCCCATAACCAGTTCCAGAGACTCAATATTTGTCCTTGCCACGATGGAATTTTCTCCTCTGCAAAATGTTTGTCCCACCTGAAGACACTTTGATAACACAGGACCTGCTCTCCCCTGCCTGCTCAGGGAGGGTGCAAAGCTGTGTGTCTGGGAAAGGAGCTGCTCCAGGAAAAGTCATTCCTCAGATCCCAACAGGTGGCTGCAGACATTCCAGCCAGTCAAACAGACACAATTATGGACCAGGCAGTTATTTAGGCCCAGACACAAACTGGGGGCTCCAAGACAAGAGGTCCTAGGGAATAACAAAGGTAGGAATGGCAGAAAAATGGGAGTGTTTGGCTCTTGGGGCTTGTGATTGAACTGACCCTGGGCATAGCAAATTAAAGAAAACAAACTCCGAGACACAGAAGCTGAAGCAGGGAGGGAAGAGCTGGAGTGATGGTGTCCTTCTCCCTCCACAGGGATTGCCATCAGACAATGGGAGGCCACTGCCAGTGTCAAGGAACCCATGGAAGAAACCAGCACTTTCTGCCAATATTCACCTTCTTTGGGGTGTTTTCCCCACCTGAGCACAAACCCACTCGATACAAAGTGGCGAATGAAGGAGAAGTGATTTCAGGGCTACCATCTCAGCTTCTTGGGGCATCTCCCTCCTTTGTTCCTCTCTCTGCCCACCACGGGCAGCAGAAGTGCTGCTGCCCAGCACCTGCAAGAGGCATGGGTGTGTTCTGGGCACCTCTGCTGCTCTCCCCCAGCAGAACACAACCCTCTGCAAGGACCAGACACCCCCACACAGGGCCTTTATCAGCTCCTTCAGCCACCTCTGCCTGCAACTGGAGGAGGTCTCTGGGTGTGCAGGTTGGTTTCAGACCCTTGGTCATGCTCAGGCCTTAAACCCCACACCTAAAATGTGACTGGGGAAAGCAAATTAGGGCATCCTCACACTTTGGTTCAACGTTGTGACGTGGGATGTTTGGGACATTTGGGACTCTGCAGAGGAGTTTGGCTTCAGGTCCACGTTTCTGTGTCCCTCAAGCCAAGGCCAGACCTGCTGCTATTCCAGCCCAGGGCAGGAGCACGGGAGAGAGGTGTTTGTTCATGTGCAGGGGCAGTGAGGCTGTTCACAGGACCCTCTCGCTGCACTGCCAGTGTTTTTGGGGTGGTTTAACCAGGGCCTCGGGCTCTCTCTCTGAAAGAGGGGGGAGCAGCTCCTTCCCTCCCAGGTGAGGGGTGGGGGGTGTTTATGAGCAGAGGGGTATGATCAGGGTGCAAAGTCAGATCCAACACCATCCCACTCCTCCCTCCCTCCCTCCTCTCCAGCTCTGGTGAGGAGCAGCAGCGCTGACACCACCGAGGTCCCACCAGAGGGGTGACCCAGGCATGCCCAGCCCTGCCCCACTGGGGCTGGCACTGAGATTCCCCGGATTGCTTAAGGCAGGTTTCAGTGTACAGCAACTCAAACAACAAACCACTTACACATTCCCAGCGTTTCCTTCCCCCACAACAACTCCCCAAAACATGAACCGAAGCAAAAAGGGGCGCTGTGCCTTCCCAGCCCGCTGGCAGCAGCTCCCATCCAAACCTGTGACCAGCCACGCCATTTTAGCAACAGAAAGGACAGGGCAGAGCAAAACCAAGCCAAAGGACCAAAGAAACGGGGGACTTGAGCTCTTGGATGAGACACTCTGCATCATCTTCGTGCTGTCCCACCTCCATCCCCTCGACCAACATTCCCCTGGGGGCAGCTGGATGTGCAGGACAGCCGGGAACGCCGGGAAAATTCAGGGGGCTTGAAAGTATAATGCAAATCTCTTTTCTCTCTCTCTTTTTTTTTTTTTTGTTTGTTTGTTTTAGTTTGTCTGCTTTTTTTTTTTTTTTTTTTTTTACATATATACACAAGTCTGACAATAAAATGTGGACCACAGTGCAATGTCTTGGCTGCGTAGCATCCAGGACTGGCTTAGTTGTGCATCGTGGTGTGTCCCTTTTGGAGGGGGGGGGGGACACACGGGATGGATCAGTAAAATCGTGTCCTCGGCTGGGCTTCCATGGAGGAGCAAACCAGAAGCTGGAAGAAGAGCAGAAGTCCTGTTTTTAAAAGCTCACTGCAGTCCCCAGGAGGGGCAGGTTTCCCTCAGAGGTGCCGTGGGCTGGGGTGCCCGTTATGGTACAGCTTCTGTTTGATGTGCACCATGTTCCCGGTGGCCTCCTCGTACTGCCTGTGGTGACGTTTCCTGAACTCCTTCAAGTTACAAAATTTGGGGATCCAAGACCAGGAGTTGTCTGGAAGGCAGAAAGGAGAAGGGAGGTGAGATGTGAGAGGAGTGGTGAGAGCTGTGCTGTCCCAGGGCTGTCCCACAGCAAAGCCACCATCGGGACGGAGCAGGGACGAGGTGGATGTGGCACCACTGGGCCACTCTCTGCCCCTCAGCTCGGGCACTGAACATGTCATTTTGTTCCCCAGTGGCTCAGCTCTCAGCCCCTGAACCTCCCCTGAAACAGCAACATTTCAGCTGCCCTCCAGTCCCACCAGAGCTCTGGGTGATTCCCCCCCAGAAACCCCCCCAGAGGACAGCTGGGAAGTCCCAGAGAGCGACAGATAGAGTGAAGTTAAACAATCATGCTGGGAAATGATTGGGCTCGGTGATCTCAGGGGTCTTTTCCATCCCAAATAATCCTGAGCCCACAACTGCAGCTGCCATGAGGTGGCTGTGACTGCTCTGACCAAGCTACTACGGAGCACAGGCTGCTGGCTGAGCTTCCATGGAATAGTTTCTATTTTAAGCCACCCCTTCCATGGGGAAGGAGCTATAGGTTATGATTTAAGCTGATCAGGCCCCAATGTGACATTGAGTCACTGCTAAGTGGTGCTCATGTTTTTCAGGGAGGGCTCCTCGTCCTGTACCAGCACAGAATTTGGATTACCCTACCCCTGTCTCACCCTCACAGGCACCATTTCTCTCTTTAGAAGAAAATTTCAGCTTTGTTCCACAAAGAAATGGGATTCCTTTCTGCTTATTGCCTTTTAAAATGCCTAATTTGAACAGATGATCTGAATGAATAGGAAATACCTAAAAGAACATTGCACCACTGGCCAAACCCTTCTTAAAGGCTTAGAATGGGCATAGACAGGGAGGGGAAAAAAAAAAAAAAAAAAAAAAGAAACAAAAGAGATCAATTAGCTTAAACACTAAATTAATTACTAAAAATAAAATCCTCTGCAGTCTCCATTCACAAGGGGTGGGTTAGATGGTGATACCACAAGTGCAGCTCACAGCTCCAGCTCTGAGGAAGAACAATATTTCCCTGCTCCCCACAACACCCCCTGCCAGCTCTGACCTCCTGGGTGCTGAGGAGTCAAAACAGGGGTCGGGGTCTCAACGCTGGCTCAGCACCCGAGATCCCACTGCAAACCCTGCCACTCATCCCTCTGCTTTGGGGAACAGCAGCACCACAGCCTGGAGGGAGCCCTGACTCAGAGCCTGCTCACACAGCATTTGGGAAGACTAATGGGAAATTAATATCATTTTTATCTGAGTTTTTCGAGGGAGATAGTCCACTTCCCTAATTAGAATTTTGCAGATAAATCTTCCTCTTGCTCGCTCTCCTTTTCCTCCGAGTTGCAATTTCACAGGCACCATCAGTCAGAACTGGAGACACCGAGATTTATGGGTACAGTGTGAGGGAATTTCAAGCCATTCCCTGGATTAATAGGTTTTTTGTATTTTTTTTTTTTTTTTTTCCTTCCAGAGATTAAAGTCCATGGGGTGTCCATGCTGAGGGAGTAGGGGGAAGGGAAGGAGCATCTGTTTGTCCTTCTGAGGGTGTTAATTCAGGATGCTGAGCTTACTGGTCCAAAGACTAACCAGCCTGCCCAGCACTTTCCCCTGGGGGGCTGATGTCACCACATCTGGAGACATCTGGACAGCAAAGAGGGTGGGAAAAACCTCAGGTGACACGGCACAGATGTCTGTCATTGTCACCACAATGTCGCAGGTTTACATGACCACACGAGGCTGCTCCCCATCAGCACAAGCCTGGTTGTAAATTGGAAAAATCCAGATTTTTTATTAGCCTTTTTTTTTTTTTTTTTTTTAAATCCAGATTTTGGAAGTTTGGCCTGGCCTGAAAAACATTCTGCCCAAAGGAGCAGCCACAGAACCCCCATCACCATCCTGCCCAAACACCTTCCTTTGCCTCCAACACCCCTCTGCACCCACACACGCATTAATTACCCTCGGGGCTGGGATCCTCAGCTGGCTCTTCCCACATCAACATTCCTGCTGCTCTCACACGCTCATGGAACCTCCCGAGCTGGGAGGGACCCTCGAGGGATCATCGAGCCCAACCCCCGGGATAGAAAGGGCTGGGATAGGTCTGGCCAGACTTGGGCCAAACCCAGATGGAATAAAGGTGGCAGGAGCGTGGATCTCCTGCCTCTCCACCTGCTTCCAAGGGCGGGGCAGGGGTGTGAGGGCAGAGCAGGAGCCCGTGGGGCTGCACTTACCATACCGTCGGCTGGTTCTCCAGGCTCGCACCGCGTAGTGGAGAACCCCGTCCATCCACACCAGAAACCAGCTTATACAAAAGCCCAGCAAAAGTCCCAGCATCAGGTCAATCTCCTGCTTGGTTACATTGTCAGTCACAAAGTAATTCTCCGAGGAGTCCACCACCGACTGGTCCCCGTCGTACGGGATGACGTAGTGGACGTGGTGCCTGTGGTGGGGACACGGACAGCGAGAGGGGTCAGCTCCCTGTCCACCCACTCACAGACTGCTCAGCACCCTCCTCCCAGCTCCTACCACCACCCCAGGGAGCTGAAGGGCTGTCCTGGCTTTTGGAGACGATGCCAGGCAGAGGAACCGGCAGGGAGGGAGGGAGGGAGGCACAGAAAGCTGACCCTGGAGCGCTCCCCGTGCCCGAGCTTCTCCTCATCTGCAAGGCAGAAAATGCTGAGCAGAGCACGAGGTCGGAGCAGCCACCCCCAGGGACACAAAGGTCTGTGTTTGGGGCAGAGGCCACTTGTTCCTGTGAGCACACAGGGGCTGGGAGCAGCTGTGTGGCCCTGCAAGGGTCACCACCACCCATCCCCTGGCAGGAGGGAGAACTGTCCTGTCCCTGCCCTGCAGGACAGCCCCAGGCTGAGCTGTTCTATCCCAGAGCCAAATGAGGCTTGAATCCCTCCCATAGCAGAGCAGAGAGTGTTCAGAGCCACGGAGGAGGCTCCTGAGAGCATCCCTGAATTCCTCCTCCAACAGCAGAGGAAGGAATTCCTCCCTCAGCATCGCTCCTGGAAAAGTCACACGAGATCCAAGATCACCTCAGGTTCTCCTGCTGCATGATCAAGACTGGGTTCATTTGTGCAATGAGGTGATGGGGACCAAGGCTGGGATGAAGCTGAACTGCCTGGAAAACCCCTGGTTAACTTGGGAAAAGCGGGAAAATGGCAGGGATGGAGTGAGGGAGTTGCGGATCAGGAAAAATCAGGCAGGTCTGTGGGGGCTGCATGGGAGGGGATCAGCAGTGACAGGTCCCTGAGAGCTGAGCCTGTGGGGTGGGAGGATCCCAGCTGCTGGGGGATGCAGGGATGCAAACCAGGCTGCTCTGGAGCCTCTGCATCTGCTTTGCACCGCCCTGAGCATCGCCCGGGGAGCAGCCAGGAGTCCTGGCACTGGGGGCATCACCAGTGCTCCCAGCTCTGGGCACAGCTGCCCGGGCTCTCCCAGTGCTGCCACCAGCACCCCCAGTGTCCCCAGCGTCCCCAGCATCCCCAGCCACGGCCCCGGCCCTGCTCCCACTCGCAGGAGAGGAGGCACTCGCTGAGGCCTCTGAATATGCATGAGGTGCAGGTTGCTCGATAATCACGCCTGAGAAACGTCCAAATATTTACACAAACAAACCTCCACTCAAAGGAACCTTCTGAAAACAGCCCTAATCTCGGCGATGACTTAATGGGGGCCACCTGCACCAGAGGCACCGGCACTGGCAGGGCTGGCACAGCCTGGTGCCATGGCACGGGGGTGGGAAGTGGGAATCCAGTCCCCCTTTCCATCAGGCAAAGGGACCAGACTGGGATGTAACAGCAGGAGGTGCCTCCAGGCCAGCTCTGATGGCAGCTCACAGACACCTCAGGGGTGAGGGCAGCCCTGGTTTGGTCTTTCCCTCATTTGGTTTGGGAAAACCCAAGGGCAGAGGGGGTGTGAGGGAGGGCTCCTCCAAAGGGAGCTCTTGCCATGACTGGGAGGTTCCCATGAACCCAACCAGCTTTGCAGAGGGGGGAAAGAGAAGCCTCACACACCTCCCATGTGTTCCACAGTTCCCAAATCCCTGCACACAGAACTCCCACATTCCCTGCTTCCCAAATCCCTGCACGTGACATGGGGACACCTGGCAGGTCCTTGACTCACTCCCTTTTGCTTCCTGCCAACACAGACACGGGATCCACAGACACCTCCCAACACCTGGGCTCCCTGAGAGATGATCCAGGGCTGGAATTCCCCAGCAGGAGCTGGGGTGTGTCCCCTCTGCTCTGTGTCTGTCCCAGGCACATCCAGGATAGATCCAAGCCCAGTGGGTGAGCACAGACCTGTCCCCACACAGGAGGTGCTTTCCATGGACAGTCTCAGCCCAGAGCCAGAAGAAAAAGGTCCTGGAGTCCTCCCCCTTCCCTCTGCCAAACCCACCAGTGCTCAGGGACGTGACACACACGGCTCACACGCGGCCAGCTGTGCTCACACGGGACACAGGGCTCTCCTCACACCCTTCCCAGGAGGTTTTCCCCCCATCCTGCTCCCTGCACAGCCCTTGTTCCTGCTCACCAGGCAGAGGGAAGGGACACAGTCACCTCCTCCCTGCCTCGTCCCTGCTGGGTGCAGGCTGACTCTGCACACTGCAGTGGGATCTCCTCCAGCTCTCCTGGCTCCCTGTGCTCATCCCTGGGCTGGGCAGGGGCAGCTGGGAGGGCCTGGCTCTCCTTTTGTGTTCTCAGCTCCCTTGCCACGTGCTGACTGTTCCTGTCATTCCAGAGGCCACACAGAGCTGAAGTCTCTTCCACTTCATGGGAGGCAAAACTCAATAGAGAGCAAAACCTTTGACCTGCCTGGATTTGGCAACTTAATTAACCCAAGCATCAAAAATCCAAGCTGGATCCCAAGCGCAGGTTTCCTTAAAAAAATAAAGCCTCCTGTCACTAAAGCTCCCCAGGAAAGCAGCTTTTGGGAACCCCAAGCTACCAGAATAGTTCCACACAGAGGAGGTCCCAGAGGGACATTTCCACCCCACGGAGTTTTCCAGAAAGGGTTTAGCAAAGCTCAGGGAAAGCGAATTTTTTTCCTGTTGGTGCAACAGTTGGGAGATCTGGGCTGCAGGGACTTCCATCCTTTGTCTTGCCTTGGCAGGACCGAGTGGTGCCACTGGGATGGGGAGGGGAGCAGGGACAGACCCCCACAAGGCTCCTGTTGCCACTCAAGCCCTCGGGGACGTCACAGGAGTGATTCAGACACGGTCACACCAGCACAGCACGTTATTAATAGTGCACAGAGGTCCAGGTCCCCACCACATGCCAAGGGGATTGGAATCTGGAACGTGCCCTGGATGGCTCTGGGATCCAGCGAGGGAATGAGCCACCTCTGAGCTGAGCAGAGGGTGGGTGCAGGAAACCCACCCAGCTCCGTGCCAGGCACTTCCAGGGAGGGCAGAGAGTGCTGGAGAGCAGGTTCTGGCTCCTCAGGGCAAACACTTTGGGCCAAACCTTGTTTTCAGAGCTGTGGAGTCCTTGGCTGTGCCTGTTTCACCAATCAAAGGCTTTGAGAAGAAGTAAAAAGCTGCCTCAGAGCGGCCCCCCCTCAGCCCTGGCTCAGGGCACTGGCACTGCAGGGAGGTCTCTGGGCTCCACGTGGTCCTCAAAAGCCAAACCCACATTCTGTCCACGTTTATTTACAAGAAAAATATGTCCTGAGTAACCTGAGGGCCAGCTGGTGGCAATTCCAGCTGGGATCAGCTGTCACAGCAGATCCAGGGCGAGTTATTCCGACCGGGTTAATCCCGAGCCACCTCCCCTCAACCATGCCCACCCTCAGGGGATTGTGGAACATCCTGAGCTGTGTCCACCCTGGGTGTGCTGGAGCCTCCTCAGGAGGGCACAGAAGTGCCAGCACTCCAGGCCAGGGGCACTCCAGAGGCAGAAGGGTCTGGTGAGCAGCGCATGGGACGCTGGAGCTGCTGCTGCTGCCCAGCCCAGCTCAGGTGACACACTGGAGCTGCCAGGCAAAGGGAGCACAGTGTGTGTGTCTGTACAGGTGTGCCCCAGCTGCAGCAGCCCTGTCCCTGCTCCCAGGGTGTGACAGAGGGGGGACAGCTCCTCTCCTCCCCAGGACAAGCAGGGCAGTGCCAAGGCTGGGGGTTCCGGTGCCCCGAGCGCCATTGTCCCTTCCAGTGACCTTGTGTGTGCTCCGGCTGCTGCAGCCACAGCACGGCTCAGGAGCCTCTAGAGAACCCACTGATTTGTTGTTGGGAGCACAGAGAGCCCCTCGGTGCCTCTGCAGTTCCCACATCACCCCTCCCACGGGATGGGGGTGGCCGAGAGCCGGCGGATGCTCCGGCTGGGCTCGGCTCCCTCCTGGGCAGGTGTTGTCTGTCTCTGCCTGTGGCAGACACGTCACATCTCCCAGGCTCATCCTGCAGCTGCCACATCCTGGCTGGACCAGCCCACTCCCCACCTCCAGCTGCAGCAGCATTTGGGGACTGGGCCTCATCCAGCCCCCCAGGAATGCCCTGCACAGGGCAGAGCCTCCCTGTCCTGCATCCCTGCCTGACCTTGCAGCCATTCCTCGACATTCCAAACGGCCCAGCACCTCTCAGAGCCATTCCCAGCAGGGCCAGCCTGCACACCAGTGTGGTGGCACCACTGCACAGCTGGAAACGTCTCCCTGGGACACAGCACACTGTCACAGCCCCCAGAAGCCCAGGGTGGTCTCCAGCAACAGGCAGTGAGCATTCCCAGCCTCCCAGCACATCCACAGAGGGGCTGAGGGGTGTAATGACTTCTCCAGAGGGGCTGGGAAAGGAGGAAACAGAGCAGAAATGTTCCCCATGACAGCAGTGCCACCCTCACCAGTGATCCCAGCAGCAGGGCAGGGATCCCAGGATCTCCAGGGATCACCAGCAACCCCAGCCAGCAGCCTCCTCACACGTTCCACATTCCACCCTGCTCTCCCAGGAAACAGCCCACTGCATGGCAGGGTCTCCATGCACATCAGTCACTCAGGAGAGGTCCCAGCACAGCCTCTCCCTCCTGGATCAGGGCCCAGGGACAGCAGGGCTGAAGCATCCCCAGGACAGCAAGAGCTGACTCGAGGCTGGCCAGGCCCCCAGCTCTGCTGCAGGGTGTTGGCACTCAGGTGAGCCTGACCCTCCTCCTGCTCCTTTCCAACCCTGCTCACGGGAGACACTTTGCCTGGGAGGGAAAGACTCATCCAAGGTCACCCAGAAGGTCAGTGGCAAGGAGAACACGAGCCAGAGCTGCTGAGGTCCCTGTCCTCTCCAGACAAGGGCCTTGCAAGCCCCCCAGGCTGTTTTGCTCCATGCAGGTGTCATCTGTTCCCTCCAGCTCCCTCTGCCTCCACGGACGCCCTTTGGTGTTTTTCCTTTGCATGACATCACCCAGCTCCTGATCTGCTGCCAGCTCTCTGCTTCCAGAGAGGACCCTTTGCTGGCTGGGACGGAGAAATTCGGACACCTCTGCAGTCCTGCCCAGCCCTGCTCTGCCCTGGGAACAGCCACATCCCCAGGGGGTAGGGCCAGAGCCTGCGTGCGAGGAGGACCCACCATGGTGATTTGGTGATTTGGACAGCCTGGATGCTCCACACGCCGAGGACAGGGAGTGCCAACTCCCCCAGGGATCTGCTCCAGCAGCCACATTCCTGCACGGCGTCAACAGGAGCCAGCAGGAGTGTAAATGTGGCTGTCACCCCTCCCTCCCGCAGCCAGGAGGCAGATGCTGGGAGAGGAACAGTCCCTGTCACACCCTGCCTGCGTGTGCAGGCTCAGCACCAGCAGCAGGTGCCAGGGCCAGCCCCGTCTCTCTGCTGACGTCCTCGCTCCATGCACCATCCCCACACCAGCCCCCCTCCCCAAGCCACTGTTTTCCCAGGGAACAGCCGTGGGTGCTCCCTGGTGGCCCCGGGGGTGCTGCCAGCCCTGCCCTCCTTGGCTCTGGTGGGGCCCAGCCTGCTGGTGACAGCCCAGCCAAACACGAGGAGAACATCTGCCAGTCCTCCCAGCACACAGCAATGCCCATCCCAGCACACAGCAGTGCCCATCCCAGCACACAGCAAGGTCCATCCCAGCCCACAGCAATGCCCATCCCAGCACACAGCAATGCCCATCCCAGCACACAGCAATGCCCATCCCAGCACACAGCAATGCCCATCCCAGCACACAGCAATGCCCATCCCAGCACACAGCAGTGCCCATCTCAGCACACAGCAATGCCCATCCCAGCCCTCAGAGCAGGAGCACTCCAGGCCAAAGGCACTGCCCTCCACCCAGGCTCCCTCAAACTGAGGATTTGTGGCTCCATGGACGTTGTCACCCGAAAGACTGCAAAAGTGGGCCAGCCCTGGCCACGTTTCTGTGCACTGGGCAGGGCAGCAGGGCAGCAAGTGCAGCCCCAGGCAGCATCACCCAGCACCCCACACCCTCGGGATCCAGTTCCTGCAGCCTCCAGCAGTCACTGAAACTTTGCACAGTGCAGATGTCACCAGCTCCCTCTTGGTTCTCCACAAAGAGCAGCCACAGCTCCCATCTGACATCACAGAACCCGAAGAGCACCTGCCAGGGCCCAGCCAGGTCACTCCTGCCCCGTCAAAATTGCTCCCCTGCTTCTGGCATAAAGTGATGAGCAACAGCTCCAGCCTCCAGCAGCCCCAGTGGCTCTGATTCCGTGGGGATGGGCACGGCAAGGGTTGGGATGAGCCCCAGCAGAGCCAAGTGTTCAGCCTCCAGTAGCACCTGAAGATGGGGCTGGTTCTCTTCCCCAAATGTTTTGACCCTAATGACACTCTCCAGCCACTTTGAACACACAGAGTTCTCAGGATATTGAGAAAAAACCATTCAGCACTCCTTCCACTTGTCTGGGACCTTCCTGCTAGGCCAGTGCCCCATGGAGAGGAGAACAGGCAGAGTCCAGGGAAAGGCCCATCACTGCCCACGAGGACAGACCCCAGCACAGCCCCCATGAGCCTGAAGAGCTCTTTGAGGAGGCAGCCAGAGCAGACAATGACCCCAGAGCCCCCAAAACATGGACAGAGCCTGGGGCACCCCTGGGTACAACTCATGCTGCTGCCTGCCAGCCTCCCACCACAGACCAGCACCACGCCCCAGCACCCTTCACCAGGGAGCAGAAAGTGTGGACAGGAACAAGAGACTCCTCCCCTGGAACTGGAAACACAGCCAGGGCCCATCCCACTGCCAGGGCAGTGGGGATCCAGGCTATGGATGCTCCAGTGGCAGCCTGGCAGAGCACAGAGCCCCACATCCCCTGGCACACATCAGCTGGCACGTGGGGCACACACAGAGCCAGCCCTCACTGCCCACAGCCACCCTCAGTCCAGGACAGCTCCCAGCCCCTCACAGGGTGCACATTCCAGTTCCTCCTGGAGGAGCACAGCCTGTGGTACACTGGTGCCCAGTGCCAGGTCCACAGTCCAGCCTGGGGTGCCTGAGCATGGCAGACCATTCCTGGGGAAGGGGGCCACTCTGACACCCCAAGGAAGGGTCCAACCAGGGCAGGAGAGCGGAAGGAAAGCGTTTCTGAATGAGTTATTTGGTCTGACTGACACTACGACCCAGGCCAGGGCAGGAGGGAAAACCTTAATTGCAGCAGCTCAGCCCACTGCACATCAATCTTCATTTGTTCCAATTCCTCCTTCCCTTCCATTTCTGCAACATTTACTTATTTTCCCCATTCCCTCCCTGCAACACACTGAACTGCAGCCAGCTCCCTCCTCCAAGGACTCCCTTTGGTTGTTGGCAAATTAAGTTCTTCATCAAGGCCCCGGTAGCGGCGCTGACAATGCGCTCCAGGACACGGCCCTGCCTGGTGCGAGGCAGAGCTGCTGACGGCTCCCTGCCCCCTGCTCAGAGCACTTGGAGAGCTGGCAAGGAAGGACAAGGCACATCCAGCACCACCTGCCTTCAAATCAGAGCGCCCAAAACACCAGCACGGGAGGGGAGAGGGGCAGAGAGGATCACACCCCAAACCCGAGCGTGAGGCCACGCGACGTCCCACAGCTCAGGGTGCTTCTCCTGCATCGGGGCAGGAGCACGTGGGAGCCGAGGCTCAGGAGCAGGCACTGCTCTGGTGTTTCTGTTGGCAAGAGCCGTTGCTTCTACGCACCTGAGGCAACTGGTAAACTTTGCTTTCTTTGCCTCCTCTCAGATCCTCGCTCGACGATTTGGAAGCTGTTTTGGGCACTTTCGAAGAAATGACCTAACGATGTCTGGGGAGAGTGCCATGGCTAATTTATCTGCCTCCACAGCATCTCTGCAGACAGAGAGTTAGAGTCCCCCTGCCACCTTCTCAGGCTTGGGCAGGACACTCTGCCAAACCACCAGCGAGACCCGACGCTCCTCAGCCCCTTCAGATAACATTAAATTCTCTCGTCAGCAGCCAGTTTTCACCACCACTGAACCAAGCTGTGACGAGTAAAAAACAAAAACTGGTGGAAGGGGCAGAGGAAAAAATCTAAACCAGTGAAAAACATCAAGAGGACTCAAAAAACATTAGCTGGGGAAAAGCTAAGCCTTGCCAAAAACAAGCCAAAGATGCTGTGGGTGTTTTTTGCCCACAGTCTTCCCCACTGACCTTAACAGGGAGATGCCTGAGGTGCCCGAGGAGCACCAGGAATTTAGGGTCTGTCACTGTATCATCCAGAGCCCGGCTGAATTTGGCCCTGGAGGTGCTGCTTGCACCTTTCTCTGCTGTTCTGCCCCGGGAGCCTGGGGAGGAAGGCACCGATCACCTTCGGTGCCTGAAGCACAAGTGGAAGGGCAAAGCAGTTTCTCTTCATTAAGCGAAGCACATCCCAGCTCCAGCTCAGCTCCCACACCAGGGACACCAGAGGGATGTGACGCCCGGGAGACAGGATGCAGCTGCTTCCAGAGGCAGCTCAAAGGGGAGTAAAGCTCAATTTAAACGCTGGATGTGACAAGGGAGGGCTCCCCCAGCGTGTCCTTTAGCTGGCACAGCCTCACGCTGCTTCACTCCCCCACAGACAAGAAACTCTCCCGCAGGCTGTGAGTAACCAGGCACAGGAGGGGAGCGAGGCCTCCAGGAGCGCAGGACAAGGATCACCGGCAGCAATCCCACAAGGAAGAGAGAAATTCACCTCCCCAAAGCTCAGCCCCCAGGCCTGAACACAGGGAGCAGCCAGCTCCCAGCTCCCAGCTCCCAGCTGAGCACTCAAGCGATTACACACGACGTAAGAACGACGTTGTTTAGGAGAATTCAGCATTCCCAACAGCCATGGGGAGAGGCAGGGATTTGTCCAGTCATAAACTTGTGCACAGCAAAGGCATCACTCCTGGCACAGCATCCACCTGGCTTACAGAACGCTCCACAAAACCACAGCCCAGCCTCCTCGGGGTGCTGTGTCCAGCAGCATCACAACTCTCGGGAGGAAAAGCCACGGGGAATTAAAAATCTGATCAAAGATCTCAAAGCCTCAAAGTGACACTGTCCTACACAGCCACACTCCAGCCTGGACACGGATCCTCTCGGTCCTCCAAACCCCATTTGGTTTAAGCCACACAACTGCAAGACCCAGACCCCAAACAGGCTGAGGACCCCAAACCATCACAACCTGCTGACAGCAAAGGCAAAATGACAACCGTTCACATCAAAGTTACTCACTTTGGCAGGGCTGGCGGATGCACCTGCACAAACACGCACACAAAGGAGAATGGACTTCCAAGCCCACAGAAAACTCTTCTTCCGGAAAAAAAAAACAAATCCCCCCCTCCCTGTGTTCATGCAGGAGCTGGTGAGCAAGGTGAGACACAGCCAGAATGCAAAGATGGTAGCCCAGCCAGCGGCTCCCTGGCCATCACCTCCCCTGTGCCTCCCCTGTGAGGCAAGGTGGGAAGGGGCTGGGGGGGCAGGGGGGGCAGATCCTCTGCAGGTGAACTTACCTTCCACAGTTGCAGTGACAAACTCGGTCTTCCCCTCTCAGATGCGGTAAGATGTAATTGTGAAATCTGTCCAGCAACGCATTCATGTCCATCAAGCAAGCTATTGCCTGTAAGAGCCCACAACCAAGGCATCTGGTCAACTCTGGATGATGGAATAAAACATTGACTCTAGTTTGATTGCCAAAGACTGAAGCAGTCATAAAGAAAATAATCTTTGGTGTTCACCGGGGCACACACACACGCACACACACGCACACACACACACGGAGGTGCTCGGGCTGAGGGACAGTGCGGGGGGTGGGGGGGGAAGGGGAAGGGAGGTGTGTGTGTTGGGGGGGGGGAGATGATGGAGGGGAGGGAGATAAGCAAAATCTCTTACCATAACGATAGAGGCGCCCAGGATCATGAAAATCATGGTGTTTGCATTCATGGACATCAATAGGGGATGGCCAGCGGTCGGGTCCGTGCGCCCCAAGCCCGCGGAGGGCGAGCGGCGGCCGCGCTATTCCGCAGAGCCGAGCGCGGGGCGCATCGCGCTCGCTGCCCGCACGCTGCGGTGCGGCGGGGGGCGGCGGGGCGGCGGGGCGCCCCCCGCGCACACACACGCACTCCCCCGTGCCGGGGATGCCTCGGGTTCCCGCGCCCCTGCCTCCCCTTTTTTTTTTTTTTTTTTTTTTAATTATTTTTTTATTTTTCTAGGACGAACGTGACAGGTAAAAAAAAAAAAAATTAAAAAAAAATAAATAAAAAAAAATGTGCTCCCCCGTTCGCTGGCCCCGGGCTCCCCCCGGCCGCGGCCGCGGCGGTGTGCGGCTCGGGAGCGGGCACCCGCCGCCACAAGCACAGCCTTCATGCAGCAACTGGGAAGCGAGGCAGCCAAACCCGGGGTGCGGGGTTGGGGGTGGGAGGTTGGGGGAGGAGGAGGCAGGCTGCAAAAAAATCACCCGCTCCGGGGGAGCCTCATCGCATCCTCTCCCCCGACCCTCCCCAAAATCATCCCCGCTGCGAAATAGAATTGAAAATAAAATATACCCCACCACCCCACACCCCAAAATCAGCGCGCCCACCCGCCCCAAAAATAAGCCCCCACGAACCCTCCCTGCTCGGGGCTGCGTGTCCCCGCCGCTCGCTCGGCGCCGGCAGCCCCCGGCCCAGCCCCTCCCGGGCGCGGGTGGCTCCGCGCCGCCGGCCGGCCCCGCACGGCGGGGGAGGGATGCGGGATGCAGGGGAGGGATGCGGGATGCAGCGGGGAGATGCGCCCAGGCAGCGCCGGCCGCCCCCTCCCCACCCCGGGCATTTACCTACGTGGGGAGGCGCTGCTCCGGGAGCGGCTCATGGCGAGCGGCGGCGGCAGCTCTGCGGGCCGGCCCTGCGGGGCTCCCCCCGCCCCGCAGCCGCACGCGGAGCCCCGGCAGCGGCGCTTGGCCGCGTTTCGAGTCCCACACGCCATCCTCACCCCGCCCTTCCTCCGCCCGGGGTCGGCCCCGGCCCCTCTCGCCTCCCGGAGGACGGGGCGGGGGGGGGATGCGGGACCGGCCGCATCCCGCGTCGCGGCCCCGCCGGGACCCCCCGCCCGGCCGGGGGTCCGGGCACGGCCCGTGCGGTGGGTGCGAGCCCCGGGCTCCGCCGCGCACACGCCTTCCCTCGGCACCTCCCTCCGCCCGCTGCTGCCCGCACCCAGAGCGGCCCTTGGGGGGTGGGGGTCCCGGCCCCGCGCCCCCCGCCCCGGGGAAAGCGCCCAGAAGGGCTCCCAGGAAAGGCTGAGGGTGCCCTGCCCTGCCCCGAGCAAATCCCACCTCCCTGGAGCCGGCCCCTGAGGAAAGCTGGGATGGTGCAGACACAGGAGACCCCTGCCTCGCTTTTGGGGCGCGAGTACGAACACAGCTTTGCCCCCTCTGTCAACCCCAGATCCAAGGGCCAAGGCACAGCTCGTGCTTCGGGTTCTCCACGGCTTTGTTTCACCGCGGGGTTGGTCGGTCCAACCCAGACCACGTTTAGGAGCTCCTGGGGAAATTAAAAGGAAATAAGTGGCCAGCCGGTAACTTTTTGCTCGTTTGGCTGTCGCTCCTTTCCCTGTGAGGCAGGAGACGTGGCTGAAGGGAAGCGGTTCCAGCCACCACGTGGGAAATGCGTGGTAGCACAGGGCTTGATGGCTGGAGTGTCCTGCAGCGCCTTCACCGCCCCGTCCTCAGCCCTCCTCAAGGTGAGCTTCACCTTGCTACAACCCAGGTATTTATTTTTTTAGGCTTCTCAGGGCCATCAAAGCAGAGTTTGCTGGTGCTGGGTTTTGCTTTTTTGCATATTTGTTTTCCTTCTGCTCCTCAGGCCACAATCAGCCTTCTTATGTAATGACTCGTGTTATATAAACTCCATTCTTCAAGGAACAGTCATTAACCTACTACTGGGTATTGAAAATACCAAAATACTGTCACACAATTAAAACCACTAAATGGTGTCCTCAAATTAGAGCACAGATTGCATTGCAGATGATTTTTTTTTTTTTTTAATTTTTAATTTAAACCACACACATGAAACGTTTGACAAGCCAGGCACTTCATGCCTAGGAAGGCATCGCTTGCCACACCCTGCCCAGCTCCTCAGAGTTGAAGACAAGTGCCAGGGAACGGTGTGGAAGTGAAGTTCTGCCTGGCTACCCATCCACGTTCCTCATCTCCAAGCCACCCCCATGGATCAGGCATTTTAAAGCCACCTCTCCTGGCCTTAGGGAAGCTGGGAGAATATCCCAGATATTTTTCCCATTTCCTGCAGACCAAAGTTTCCCTTGAAATTTTTTTTTGACACAGAAAATAGCTCTGACCTTGTGTTTAGCCACAGTTTTATACCTCTACACTTCTGTGTACCTCAAACAAGAGACCATAAAATTCCTGTATAAACTGAGCTTTTGGAATCTGAGGATTTCGATGCAAATGAAGCGTGTGGAGACAAAGTAACTACACAAATGCATAAATTTTTCATGTTAAATGAGAAGTAACATGTCAGAGTATGAACAGCTTTAGCTGAAGAACAAGTTATGCTCAAAGAAAGCTGAAATACTGACTGTGGATCTTTCAAAATACTGACTTGTCCTTCCAGATCATCCATCCATCCATCCATCTGTCCATCCATCCATCCTTCTGCACACTGGTAAATAAACAAGTGACAAACGACCAGCTCCCAGCATTGCTCTGGCTTATGAACAGAATGTTTAGGATGGAAAGAACTGCTCTGCAACATCCTGTACACTCTATTATGGTTTTAGGCTTCTTGGTTAAGAGATGCAGCGAAGTTCTAATTATTCCACACTTAGCAGCACAGCAGCCAGAATTCTCTGCCAACCACACACATGAGAAGTGCAACCTTCCTGCAATAAAGAGGACTCTGCTGTGAATCCCAATATAAACACAAAACTCAGGTTAAAACACCCTGTGTGGGTTTTTCCTGCCTTTCTGTGAAATAACAACAAAGAGCTCTGTTTAGGGCGAATTAAGTTGAGAGCAAAAACATTTTTCAAACACTCCCCAGGTTTCACCTTGCCAAGAGCAGAACTCGGTGCTGGTGCTGCATGGGGAAGGAAAACTCTGCTCCAAAAAAATCTGTGCCTGCTTGGAATGTCTTTTTAAAGAGATCCACTACAGCAGTTCAGTCCTCACAGCACCATCTCCTTCCCTTGGCTGTAAAATATCCCCATGGTAACAGAGATGGTATCAGACACACCAGCGAGGAGGAGCAGAGGAGGCCAAGGAAATCCATCAAACCCAGAGTCCCCAGGAACAAAACGGGACAGGACAAGCCAATTGGAAATCACACCCCCTGCAAACCTCGTCCCAGCTGCTGCTCCAGCTCCCCAGCCCCTGTTTGTTCTGATCCAGTCCCTCTCCACGACATTTTTAAGCATTTTTAAACAGACAAGCGAAGCAGCCCAGGTAACTCAGGGATATTAAACACTCCCAGGACCCGAGGATGATGCACTGACCCATTTGGACACTGGCCAGGACACGGATTGAGCTGGCAGAGGTCTAAGTTCTCCCACAAAGCAGCTGAAACCACAGCCACCCCCCAAGATCCCAGGAGCAGCGAGGTGTAAGGTTTCTCTGGGGGCCCGACCAGGAAGTGTTTTCCAACCTGAACTTGCAGTTCTCAGGTGTGGAACCCCAAATGCTTCTCTTTAATGGCTGTGTGTTCACTGAGAGAGGTTAAGCAGCATCACCTGAGGATTTACTGCCCCACAGCCAGAGCTGTCTGCACAGAAGGGGTAACGTTTTCCTGAACTGGAAACACCTGCACCAAACTCCTGCATGGGCAAAACAATGAGCAAGGAAAACCAGGTAATTCCTGCAAGCTGCCAGAGGTCAGTGGTGGAATGGGAGAAGCCAGGAGGACAAACCCCCACCTGATGCTGCTTCACTTCCAACCTGGTGGTTGTTGTCCTCAGCTACCCCAGCAGAGCCTCCTTTGCTCCAAATTCTTCACAGCTTTTAAGATCTTCTCTTGCCTGGAAGCAACAGCACTTTATATGCTGAGTGTGCAATAATTTGGGTTCACCTCCATCAGTCTGAGCAGGTTTCTGCTCTGTTTGTACACACATCCCCACCTCCTGGATTTTGAGCCATGGCAACCACATTTACCGCTGCTGTAAGGGAGGAAAATGCTTCTATTCAAAACTGATTTGGTTAAAAAAAAAAACAAACCTCCAAATTTAAGTTATTTCAGTTGCCAGTGGAGTTTGCCATTTCTCCCCATCTTCCTCACACATTGGGCCCTGACTGTTACAGTTACAGGCTCTCAGTTTTATTCATCTCACCCAGATACTTTGTGTTTTACCTCAAAATGAACAGACACTTCCTCAGCTGCTACTTTGAAAACAGACAAACTTAGAGGTTTTTCATTTTTATTGGATGCTTCCAACTTTATAGCTAATAATATACAGATATTCAGTTATTTAATTGTTCCATTCACATCCTCAGCCATTCTGTCACATTAAAATAAAATAAAATCTAAAAAAAAAGAAAACAAACAAACAAAAAGCACAACTGAAATAAAATAAATTTGTAAGCTGGAAAAATACATTATAAACTTATATTCAAGAAACATTCTCTTTATAATTAAAAACCTACTTGTAATAATTAAAGTAGGATTTTAAAAAAGAACTTGAATTTAATTTTTAAATAGGTGGCCTTTGTGTATACTTTTAATCATTTCATATGTACAAGCCCAACCAGTACCTCTGCCTACCTGTGACAGAACACCTGAAACAAAAAGACACTGAAAAGGAGTTTTTAAACAAACAAACAAACAAACAAACAAAAGATCAATATTCATTTTCCAGGAAAATACAGTATAATCAGAAATTTAAACACATGCTTCCCTCATCTGTATTAAGGCCTAAGAGACAGATGTGCTTTAATAAAAGCAGACAGTATGAAGAAAAGTCCTTCCACTTTTCTCTTCAAATTCCTGTAACAGCTCATCTATTTCATTTTCCATGTCTTCTGTGTGCTGTATCTAGAAGAGAAAAAAGGCTCAGCAACCAGACCCCAAGGACGTGCTGCTGTTCAGAAAATTAGAACAATCCCAGGGTTTTGGCTTGCTGGGAAATGTAACCCAGCAGAGGCTGTGCCCAACAGTGCAGCCCTGGGTGCTTTACTGGCATCCCCAGCACTCCCAAATGCACAGATATTCTGCTTTATGTTTATCTGCAGATCCTTCCTTCCCCAACCCACCCAACTGGCACTTCACTAGTACTTTGTTGAGTAGGCAACATCCCT